CCTCTAAACAACTGTTGGGGTTTTGTTGACCGCACAGCATGCCCATATGCCGTCCATCAAAAAATCAGAAGAAGACCACAAGACGGTGCTCGTCGTGAAGCACCAGGCAGTGATGTGCGCAGACGGCATAATTTGACGGCTGGACAAAACCTACAAAAACCATGGGCATTTTTTTGTTTGTTTAATATTAGAATGCATAAAATTATCACAGTAAATCATATTCAAGCTTTTCTACTGAGCGAAATACCTGTCCAACTGGGCTGAAAGGCATCTAGAAATATTTTAATAAAAAACGTTTACTAGCGACTCCCATTTTACTTCTCAGATGTGCGTGTGAATATTGCATCAAACCAAATTACAGTGTTACTGTTGAATTCAGCATTGTAAGAGTAGCCTATGTTGCGTGGCCTTCTATTGCAAGAAAAGACCGTAGCACAAGTGAGGCAGAAACTAGGCAGGAGCTTAAGCTGAAAAACGCACTTTCATAAACACACAAAAGAAATAAAAAAAAGTGTATAGTCAAGCAAAATGGTTTCATGTCACCCCCCAAGGCAGATACATACACTGCGCTAATACGAACACGAAAAAAATCGCTTTTATTTGCAGTTTATTTCTTTGACAGCTATTGAAAAAGCTAAAAAATTTGTCGCTCAGATTAGGGCCCCAAACGAGCGCTTTATTCCACACCAATAGGCAAATGTCAGTCCCCTCGAATTTAAGGTGAAAAATGAAAACAGGATATTCAATGCTCCCGCTAACAGTGTCGCGCAGTGTACATAAACACCAAGGCACCATATCACAAACCGAAGCATACGAAGAAGAAAAGACTTATTTCATTGGGGGAAAAAAGTAGAGATATAAATGGAGTACTCGCTTTCGCTAATTTTTCACTGTCTTGCTGCCTGAAGTAACCAAACAAAAATATCTGTTCGTTTGGCCGACTGCTTTAGTCTTTGGTCTTTAACCTTTAATTTTTGGCTCTGGAGAGCCGCGGCACCGCGGAAAGGAAGCCGCCCGTACCACCGAGGCCCGCGGTATGGTGTACTAGAAGACTGGGCAGTGTAGCGAGCGCCGGCGGAGGGCGGGCTCTTTCAGCGATGACCGGATCGGTGGCCGCGAGAGGGCGCAACGTGTAGTAGGCGTGCTGTCGGAGTGCGGAGCGCAGGCGGCGGTAGCGCTTGGCTGGCTTGGCGTTCTGCACGGGTTCGATTGCTTCGTATTGTTTGGCTAAATCTTTACGGTATTCTTTAGTTCTGCTGTTTCACATATTATTTATCGCACTAATTCGTTGCCAAATGCTTTGCCCGAGACGTGCATCTTCGGGCAGGACACCACAGTACACATCGCGACACCGACATTTACTTCGAAAGAGTATTAGCGAGGACGAACTTTTATCACCTGCATTATAGACCCGAATGAGCTTTTTCCCCAGCAATTAGAACTTTGCTGAGATCCTTTGATTTCTCATAGAAAAACCATCGATCGCTTGTTCGCGCTAGCAATGTTGCGTTATGAATAGCTGCGGGAAATCCATCCCCCAGGGCAACGTTCGGGAAGTCTCTTGAAAGAGACGTCCCAAACGTGTGTAATCCTCTGGGTAACATAGGATAAGCATGCTGATGGCATGATACTTAAACAAATGTGTGCTTTTGTGACCCTATAATTTCGCTGTCACTGTAGTTTATGATCAATAAAATCCGTGGTTGAAGCAAAATGGGTCTTACAAAACGGACTATATCGTCTACTTCTGTAGGCTGCGTGGAGATGCCACCGTCGACTCTCGCAACTACTTCCACGGGCTTTCGAAGGAATTTCCAGCACTAGCCTTTATCGTATTTGCTGTTACTACGTAGGGTCTTCAAACAGGACTGTGCGAATAGTTAGAAAAATGTATCCACTCACCAGCTCTGGTAGTAACCACAGTGGATAAATTCTTATTTATCCACTGAGCACCAGCTATATTGATGTGTGTGGGCACCAGGGCACACAGATAAAATTTTAATCATGCACTGGGCGCCAGCGCACAGATGAGATTACACCCATGGATTCCGGAGGCGATGGTACTTGCTTTTCCCAAGAGCTCGGGAGAGGGGGGCTCCCGAGCTCCCCCGTAGTCGGCGCCTATGGCGTTTTGTACCTCTACATTCTCCAACATGAGGTCATGATCTTGATGAGCTTCGACATCTTCAGGATAAAGGACTCAGTATCTTCCGCTGGGCCATTAGACCCTTCAATTTTCTTGCGGTAAAAAAAGAGGCCTCTTAGCACCTCCTCATTGAAGAGACGGAGTGCTGGGCCAACCCTCATCTTTTTAAAACCGTTAGGAGAGAGAGAGAGGAAAAAAAATAATTTGCTGATGTGAGGCTATAACCTTTAACGTCACATTTTCACAGTCACTTCTCCAAGCCTTTCTAATGCAGTCAGCGTGCACAGGACCCTTCGGTGTGTCCAAACCAGTGTCTATAAAACCGATTTAGCAAATGGCCACTTTAAAGTGCAAAAAGTCCGAAAAAAAAAAAATGTAGAGGACGACTGTCATGACTGCCTGCATTACCTGAAGCAGAGCAGGGCCGTACCCAGAAAAAAATTTCGGGGGGCGGGGGGGGGGGGGTTTCGGGGACAACGGCGGCCATTTTGTCATATTTTCGCCTATGAATCATGTGCATCGGTGGCATATAATGGAGAGTTATAGCAAACCGAAGAACCGGTCCCGGTTTGGTACCCGGTAGCCGACCGGTGCCGCTGCGCGTGCGCAGAGGTGGAGATTAAAATCGGCTGGCTGCAAGTGCACCGACCAGGGCCGTACCCAGAAAAAAATTTCGGGGGGGGGTTCGGGGGGCATTGAGAATATAAGAGTCGTTGCGAATTAAAGGGGCGCTTTCGGAAAAACAAGGGGGGAGTGCACCCCCGTAGAGGGGTGTAGGGAAATCACTGCCCCGACACAAAACACGTCCCGTCTCTCTTATCCCGCCGTTTTTCCGTCATTGCACGCGTTGTCTACATCCCACTGAACGGCACCGATCACAATCCATTTCACTCAAGCATTAAAAAAAAAAAAAACTGCAGTAAAACAAGGCGACGACGCGAACCACGCGATCACAGGCAGTACGACCACGCGGCAATCCGAGCGGGAAGGAGCACGCCTGTTACCCGCAGCGCCCCCTGGCGTCCTTGCGCTCCGTCATCGCTGCGCCGACCTCCTCCCTCCGTTGCTTCTCGGCGCGGACGACACACTGCCCAGTTCTAGTACACCATACCCGCGGTGCCGCGTCTAGGGAACATGGTAATGTGATGAGTATATACGTGCAAGATGACGACGAGTCGACGACATGGGTTGTTGGTATTGGGGAGAGTGGCAGTCCGATTCGCAGAAGTCCAGACTTCGTGGAGGCGGGTTGGGCGGGTGAGCAGCGAGCTATGAGGATCTTGCACGCCGTTCGATCAGTGCATGAAGGAGCACCAGGAACATAATGGCGCTATTGCTCACTGGGGTCAACTGGGGTCAAAGAATCATGATCCAAGGAGGTAGTCCAGCCGAAGTAGAAGCTGCCGCCTCCCGGGAACCGAGGCCCAGGGCTCAGATTGAGACACCGCCGTCGCCCGGTGTGTCATCCTCTTAACGTCGTCGTCGTCATCTCGCAAAGAAAAATCGAGCCCGCTGGCTTAGACAAGGCAGCAACTCCGTGAAAGGATTGCGGCTAGCGATTTCTCGAAGCAGCCAGAGGTTCTTGACCACCGTGAAACGTTTTCTGGGGGACGCCTTTTCAAACAAAATCTGCGCAGCTTCTTAGTGCAGCGAGGTTCATAACGGTCAAGCGCGCTCCCAAGCATGATTTCAAATAGCGAGCATTCACCTTTCCAGAAAAGCACCATCTAGTGAACCTTTACTGAGAGTGGAACGTACTGACGCTACACGCTCAAATCCCAGAGCGGGTCGCGCATGCGCGATGGCGACTCCGCTTTCCATAGAGCGGAGCGGGAAACCGAAAACGGTCTACTAAAACTCTCTATTTTAACCCTGGAGAGTAGGGAGGGCAACGATCTCCTCCAAAACCAACTCCGAGCCACATAATTCTTTTCTCGGCACAGGGCGAAATTCGAAAATGAAAGCCAGGAACGCGACGAGCACAGGCTGCACGTGCTGCACGTCGACAACACACACCAGTGCGGACACCGCCGAGTCAGCCGAGTCGCCGAGCGCCCGACCAACGTTGCACGCCATGTTTTTTTTTGTGTTTTTTTTGTCAAAAAAAGGAACAAAACAAATATAAACCACTGTGACGTTACGGATGTCAAAATAACTTATTCTAACGTCTGTGACATCAGTGGCCACGCCCTATGTACTTCGAATCGGTGACCAACGTTGCCATGCTGTGACGTTATGACTTGCGGAGGTCATAATATTTTTCCGAGCGAGTTTATAGCCAACATCAAGGCGCTTACCCTTCAATTTTGGTAGAAATATTCGTTCCAAATACTGAAAGGTGTAGCCATTATAGAAATGTAACTTACAAGCTTTAGAAGCAGCAGTTTTGGTTTTACATGCAGACAAACTCAACGTGTAATCCAATCCAAGCCAAGATATCTTGCTGCGCGCGCGAAGACAATCTGGCAGATCGGGCCATCGGGCAGTCATTGTCGTGTCGTCGTCGTAAACGTCATGACCGCGAAAATGGCACGAGCTGCGGATAGCCACGAACGCCTTGCAGCCTTGCTAAGTGAAATGCTCAACGACAAGGTGACCCGACGAGAAGTCGAAGCCCCGACGAGCGAATTTATGACGAAAGTCTTCTACGGCGTTTTCAAGGAGGCGGGCCTGAACGAGACCGCCTTCGAAATGTCCCAATTCCTCGTGCCGGCACACGTGAGCAGCTTCGTGCCAACATTACACCTCAACAAACTGATGCAGGTGGTCTTTACGAAGCTGGGCGTCCCCGACTTCGGCCTATCCGACATCAGCGACCCGGAGCCGAAGCGCAGTCGTAAGCTGCTCTCGATACTCTGCAACTTCTGGGTGCGACTGGGTCGGCAGTGGAACATGTGGTCAGACATCGAGGTGGGCCTCGCCGCCGCGAAAACTGACCGCGAAGCCAAAAGAGCCCAGCTGGACGCGGTCAAGGCCAAGGTCAACCAGCTGTCCCAGCATCCCGGCATCAACCCGGAGAGGCTGGCGGCAGCGCAAGGGGAGCTCGCGGCCGAAAACAAGGCGCTGGCGACCAAGGAGCCAAAGCAGGCGGTTGTGATGAACGACTATAAGAACTTAAAAAGTGCCAAATGCCAGGTGACCGAGCAGCTGAAGAAAAGGTTTGTTTTCGTCGCTCCTATCTATTCAGTTGACGAGTACTGACACGAGAATGCCGAGTTCTGGTTCGCATGATTAGTGGCTAAGCCGCTAGACCCAAAAGCTGCCTGCCTTTGTTTCCACTACACTCGTCGAACGCGTCCGAATGCGAAAGGCAAATGGCGGACGCCGGCGTTCCGCGTTCTAAAGCGTTTAATGAGTGCAGTGGAGCCTGCTTGAGGTCTCCCCACTAGTCCTTCCAACCGGAGCTCTGGCTACCTCAGTTATTCGGCGTATTGTCCCATTTCCTATTTTCCACCAACATACAGTGCCTAAGGGACCTTCACAATGCCTCCTTTCAAGCATTTTTTAAAAAAAATGAACTGTTGGGTAAACACGGCACAAACATAATAATAATCTTAATTCAATGCTGAGGGGTTGTGACAACAAAGAAGGGTCATTCGCCCATGTCTGAGGCCTGCAGCGACGCGTAATGAGGCAATTTTTCTCGTGTATGTTTGCGGCTTTCCGTGCCAATACTGCATGAGAATGTCGCTTTGATATGACCTTTTGTACAAATTCATGCAAGCAGGCAAGTGACCAACCTAAATGGCAGTCGTTCAGTTGCTCTTCTGTTTTAGTCAAGTTTTAAATCGTGGCATATGAGAATTGCTCCTTTGATCACCTCAAAATCCGGTTTCGATTTGTTTCAGTTTCAATGGTGTGAACATAAGAATTGACCAGTACAAAGTGGCGACCCACAAGTCCCTCGGTTAAATATCTGCCAACAAAAGCCTTTAGAGCCAAGTTTTTTGTGGTAAGAGAGTGGTGTAGCACAATGACATATTGAACATTCAGGCCTCGGTATGTCCTCGGCTTGTGGTAGTATCTTCTTTCTTCCTTCACCAGGCTCAAGAAGGCTGCCATTAGTTTGGCGCAGATGTCATACATAGATGGATGGATGGATGGATGCTAACGACTGTACCCTTTATAACGGGCGGTAGCTTGCGCCACCTACCCGCGGTGACGATTGGGATTCTCATAAGTTGCCATAGTGAACTTCGAAAAGGGTCTGTGATCTCGCGGTCTGCCACACCCTGTGCATTCTCTGCAGTGAGGTGGAGGTCCTCGACCTGAGGCCTGCAGTGCACGACGTCCAAGCCAGAATCTGCCATTCGCCAGAGCGGCAGCGATGGTGCTTGGCTGAGGAAGCGGAGACAGCGTCTCAGCTGCAGGAGGAGCATTGTCATCTGCAAACCAGGGTAGAGGAGTTGCGCCGCAAGATGCAGAAGGCTCCGAGAGAGCGAGAGGCCTCGACCAAACTCAAGACCCAGCTGCACTCCAGCCTGGCCGTTGCGCAGCGTCTGGAGTCATTGGTGCAGGACAAGGACAACGCGTCTGCGCGCAGGTCCGTCCCGTACTCCGTCTTTTTTTATAGCCCTCCGTCGCACCGCACTTGGTGTCCTAAAACCGCCGTGGCGGCCTGGGCGGTTGTCTTGCGACGAGTTTGCTGCGACTTGTAACGTCGGAGGTGTGTGAGACTCGTAACGTCGGAGTTCGGTGAGACTCGTAACGTCCTTGGGAACATCCGGAGCTTGCTTAAAAAGTGCTCTTCTCTATCCGTGTTGTTTTGAGGTTGGTTCACATATTGATTGTGCTGCACTCGCTTCCAGCCAGCTGCGACCAGAGGACGTACTGGCGCTTCCATTTTGCCTAGTATATATTTTCTGCCCTGCCGCAGCGCAACTGCCCCCCGTAATCTCGTGGCTAAATAAATGTTTCCCTCATGCTCGTACAATCTAATTTTTTTTATGCATCATTCACTTACCGTGGTCACGAAATAATTCTGACAATGTTAGAGGCAACCATTGCTCGTATGTAATGCATAGATTTGATCTCGCAAAAACTGCAAAACCTTGTCTGTGGACTAGACGTGCTCCGGAGCCGCCTCGGTGGCTCCGAGGCAAGAGCGCCGGCCTATGGATCCCCAGGTGGCGGGTTCGAATCCCGACCGAGGTGCCCGCAATCTGACGGAAACTTATTGCGGAGAAGGCGCCGTGTAACCGAGCTTTCGGTTGCACGTCAAAAGATCCCCAGGTGGTCGAAATTAATCCTCAGTCCTTCGCTGGGGCGTGCCAGATGCCCGTTTTAGGTTTGGCACGTAAAACCCCCAAATTTGACTTTTTTAGACATGCTCCGGGGCTGCCTGACAGATGGTGTTCGTGTGCCCTCGTCGTAAGCAGTTGCGAGAGATCGCGCAACACGCTAAACACATATGTGTAAATAAGCCTTTAAGCATAATTCTATATCAGTAATAACTAACCAAATATTAATTTTGTTTTGTTTTCTTTAGGGGAGCATTTTAAAGGCAGGTCTACGCTTTTGTATTCTCTGCTTTGTTTTATCGAGGGGAAAGTTCCACGGGCTTTCCGAAAAGAGGAGGAGTGCGCATGCGCAGCCTTGGGTGCAGCTCGAGGCGCGTGAGCACACGTGTTCCCATACCTTTGACTGCATTGCCACAGAATGTCGTCCCCGATTATAGCAGAATCCGAGAAAGTTGTCCCCTCTCCAACTGCTTGAGTTATGATCTCGTCCTCGTACCTTTGGTAACACTGCCCGTAACTGTAATTATTGACAAAGTGACAGCGGCGGGAAGAAGCTGTTCTTGCCCCGATTTGCCCGTGCTTTTGAACGCAGGAAGAGTGCGGAGGACAAATACCACCGCCTGCTGAAGGAGAGGGAGGCAGTGGCCGAAAAGAAAAGCCAGCTGAACGGCCAGACAGCGTTCCAGCACCAGGCCATGCAGTCCCAGCTCAGTTTCAAGAAGGAGCAGTTGGTCCAAGCGAAGCAGCGCCTCGAGGAGCTCCATCTCGAGCGCCAAGAGGTGGTCTGCTCCAAGGATTCCGAGGTCTGGCACTGCCAGCTGGCCGCCATTTTATAGTAGGCAAGGAGGTTATAATGGGCAGGAGGTGGCGTAACGTCACGGAAGTGGGCGTGGACAAAAAGTGTCCCCACAGTCTTTAGGCCAACAGGAAAAGAGTTCCATGTGCTCTGCTTTTTGTGCCAAAATAGGCAACGCTCATGCCTCCCCTCCCTCCTCAATATGTGACACGTTTCCTCTTTGTCAAGTTGAGAGCCGAAGAGAAAACCTCTGCTGTATCCTGCGCAACAAAGGCTGCTTGCACTTGGCACCATGCAACATACGGCAGTTTGCTCTTGGATGTTCCATTCTGGTTGTGAACTGCAAAGGGTGCATTTTTCACTCTTCCTACGAAATTCGCACGAGTGTGCAGGTTGCTTTGCCATATTTGGGCATCTTCTTCTGCGGGCCCCCAAATCCTATATTACTAATTTTAGGCGAAATCAGATGAATGCAATGCCCCTTCGTGTCGGTTTGCACTGGAGAAACCCGCGTCTCGTTTCGTGCACATCCTAATGTTTGCTGCCTTGGTACGACTGTGATCGGACAGCATAAAGGTTTCTGTTGCACGGTGTCCCTCTGCTTGTGCATGGGACGCCTCAAAAATAATTTACGGAATATTTTTCGCCACAAAAACAAACATATTGCCGTTTTCGGCCTTTGCCCAAATATGGCACTAGCAGTCCGGACCCAGGCGCCAGAGCTCCAGAACTATCTTTTTTAATGGTTGTAAGCAATTTTCTGAAATTGGCAGTGGGTAAATGGCAGCTATGTGGGGATGAACGCCGTCATTTCCCAAGAAAGGGCCCTTTTTTTCCACTTAAAAAACCCCTGAAAAGAAACTTTTTTTTTTTTTTTTTTTAAACAATCTGGTTGAGACTTGCGTGTCAAAAAATAAATTTTGAGCGAAAAAAATAATTTTTAGAGCAATATTGACGGCGAGAGGTTTATTTGAAATTCTGCACGCGAAGTTCACGATGTCTCCGGTCATTCCGGAATGACTATTTCGGTCGCGAAGCCAATCCACATCTCCTCCGCGCACCCGAAATACAGAGAGAGAATTGGACAGAACTTCAGCTTGGGCGAGTTGGTGATTCATGATACTGCTTCACAGCGCACAAGATCAGACACACTTAAAATTAAAAGTAATTTCACGCATACACAGGAAGAACACTCACGCTGCTGATCTTGTGCGCTGTGAAGCAGTAACAGAGAGAGAAAACAAGTAGAAACGAGGTGACTGCCAACTAAATCGTTCGGGCCACTAGCGCTACAGTTGGGCAAAGTCTGAGTGTTCGGCGATGCACAGTTTATTTCCCGGGTGAAAAAAAAAAAACCTGTAAATTTTTTGGGGGGACATGCCGTGTTTGTCTCCTTGCATGCTGTGTTTTACACTGTCCGATCTCTGCTCAGGTGGCAGGCTTGGATGCTGAAATCCGTCAAGTCCAGGACGAAGCGAAAAAGGTTCGGCAGTCCTTGGCGGACAAAGTGGCCGAGACGAGACTGAACTCGCAGCGAGTCTTTGCGAGACACGAGGCCATGCTCAAAATGGCCGAGAAGGTGTTCTTTCCCGAGGACGAAGAACCCTCCAAAGATGCGGAGGGTGCATCTAATCTGTAACAACCGTGCCCGCACCCTTTTTTTTTTTGCTTTGTATTTTTTTAAATGAAGTCTTAGTGTTCGTCATTTATGTAGTCTTTCTAAAACAAGTCGAGTCTCCTGGCACGCTTCGCCTGAGCGGGCTCGCTCCTATGCGGCGGTGCCACCTTGGTTGGCGCTGGCCCATTGAGGAGGTTTTGAGAGCAAGTGGGAAATTCACTCTTGTTTCGTGCTTATCAAGGGCAGTATGACACAAAAGCGAAATTCTTCCTTGCTCTCGAGACCCTCGCAGCCAGCCTGCGCTGATAATAGCGGAGTTGCCACATGGAAGCGTGCCCGCTTCGGCCCCACATGCCGTGGGCTCTGGACTTTTGAAAAAGACTACCTTTGCTAGCTTTGGTTCAGTGAAACTTCACAATCTGAAAGCTATGGCCAGAGCAAGCCACTAGTGTTGTATTGCAGCATGCGACGATGGATTCGTGGAGTGCCTTCTGGTGGAGCGCTCTACGCCAACAGTTCTGAAACTTGTAATTTTTTTAAGCATGTCCGCATTGCTGAGTGTCTGCCTTCTGAACAGAATGCAGTGCATTAATAGATATTTAACAACACAAAGGTTGCATGGTGTGAGTATTAACATTTTACTAGGCATAATGCAAGTTTTATCGTTGTGAAAGCTCACTGCCTTGCTCTGCAATTGCCCAGTACAAGTAGGTGACTACACAAAAAACTGTCCCAAGATTTTAATTTTTACCATACTTTTTTCTTATTTCCTAATTTTGAAGTCAAAAATAATTGTTGCTTTCTTTCATTTTGTTTAGTCTTCTTTTTCATTTTGTATATATATGTCCTTGCACTTCTGCTTTATCTTCCTTTTACTCTTCACTAAGTATCAGTTATGAGTCGGCGCCTGTCCGTGTCCGTGTATTCTACTTGTCCTTGTCTTTAGCGCTACTTTTAAATTTGTAATGTATAACCAACTAGCCCATCACATGATCCTTGTCCCACGAAGTGTTACTTTTTTTTTTTTCATGTAATTCAGAGGTTTGTTGGTACTAGAGGCATATTGCTGGAGTCTGAGGCCCCCTTAGGGTTTAGTTCACCACCAGTTATCCCAAACTCTGCCAAGTTCTGGCTTGAACGCTTCCAATGCTGCATCGTGCACGTGGTGATGAATGCATATATTTAATGTTGGTGTGCATGCCGTTTCAGTTTCATAAAAGCATGTAACAAGTGTAGCCATATTCCTAAATCACTTCTAAAGCATTGGATCCTCCTCTGGTTTTAGTTTGTATTGCTTATTAAACCAGAATACTTATTTCTCTCTCTAAATACTGGAATGTACCTGTAATGATTTATTATAACTCTGGCTCTTGATGTGCTACTTATGCGTTTTATATCTTTGCATGTTAGGTTTATTTTTCATCTGTTTTATGGAAAAGCTTCTGTGCACCAATGTCAAAACCACTATGGTGTTTTTGGGGATGCCAGCAACATCAAAGGCTGGATTGACCGAGGAAATTTGAGAACTTTGGGAATGCGAAGCCTCTGGGTTCCTAGGTAGAGGTTTGAGAAATTGTGCATTGGGGTTAAAAGGCTTGTATGGTGATGGAAGCAACATTTTACTTGGAGCAGTCATGTGTTTTTTTTGGAGCAAATCCTAATGTGTGTTAGCACATCACTTTAAAATTAAATTATTGCGCTGCTAAAAGGGCCAATCTTCGATAATAATGCAGGGTTGAGCATTGATATACAAATGTTTTACTTGCTACCTTTTCTAATTATACAAATAGTCATGAAAAGCATGTGACACACAACTGTATTTTAGAATGCTCAGGTCAAGGTTTACAATAGAAATTAAGAAAAATAAAGATTGAAAATAAATTATAGCAAAATACTTCACGCTTCTCCCACTCCCTCTTTTATGTGCATAGTTGATGTTGCCTATCAATATCATTTATGTAAAATCAATAAACATATGTGGAAGGGATCGGTGGCAGAGTGGGCTAGTGCACACCAGCTTGGAGCACGTGGAGAAAAACCTCATACTGCAGAATCCGGGGAACTTTGGTTCCATCCCCACCCCGCCCATTTCTATCTGGATGATCATCGTACTGGCTGACCCCAGGCTAGAGTCAACTGCTCAGTGGAAACTACCTTGTTTACTTGTTCAAATATAAGTGCATTTCTTGTTTCCTTTTTTTTGTTGGCACTGTTCTTTGAAATTAAGTCAACCTACAATCAAGAAAAAAAAGTGATTTGTAATAGTACAGCGCATAATTTCTGAGCCCATCGTGCTAACCCACAGGTGTTAGGCCGCACAAGTCACTTCCCCCAGCGCACCAATGCAATGCAGAGAAGTTTGATGCATGCGTGCCTGTGCAAGGTGGTGAAGGTTGATGGGAGCAGCGATTGTGTCAAGGTGTAGAGGCATGTGGCGGAGATGATGATTGAGAGATCTCATCGGGAGTACGAGACCTTGGTTTTGTCTTAGAGCTACCGCTATACCACCATTTTATTAATTTGAAAGTGATAGCTTCAAGGAGCTTGTGTCGCAGAAGTGTCGTTGGCGTGGATTGGAAAAATCCTGATTGGTCGATAGGGTCAACATCCCAGCCACACGAACTGTATTACCAGTAAAGGAGGCTGGTGACATGTCTAGGGTCGACAATCATTGCCCCATTTCCCTACTGTATGCTCGTTAGAAAGTGAGATAGTTATACAGACATGGGTCTGTTTACTCGTTACAAGCAGCACCATGGAACACAATTTTTTTTAGAAAGTTGCTCAGTACAAATTAGTTTCTGTACACTTGAATACACGGTGCCATTTCTTCTTTCTTGGAAGCAGGTGAATATTATTTATTTGGATTTATAACAAGCTTTTGATAAGATCAACCACAATCTGCTTTTGTAAAAACCTTTATTGTAAGGTGTAGCATTGCCACATTTAAAATTGTTTAATAACTCTAGAAACTCGCAAGATGAGGACGGCAGGGAAAAGCTTCAGTTGCCCTCGCTCCAACATGAGCTTCCTACCTTTGGCAATGCTTCAAGCCCGGGCATTTGTAAGACACGCCCAGACGTTCTCATTCTGTTACGGACCATATCTAACATATCATGTTCAGGCTTTTATGCGATCTTGCGAGCCTCCAGAATGCACGCGCAGACAGAGCATGAGAAAAGGTGACAAGTGCTTACTGGAGGCTGGGTGCCAAGAGATGCCAGATGCCCTGCATTTCTCATCTTGTCAGCGACTATTAGCACTGAGATGTCCTGGTGACATCTTTTTTTGTTCACAGCATCAGAGGCAGTTTGATACTTCAGCACAGGCACGTAGCCAGGGATTTGTTTCAGGGGGGGGGGGGGCCGATAAAATGCTGTATGAAGGGGAGGGGGGAGAGGAGGTCCCAGCAAAATGGAAGATTTTATTTTGCGAGGAAGGGGGGGGGGCATGCCCCCCCCCCCCCCCCCCCCCCTTCCACCTTGGCTACACGCCTGCTTCAGCACCATGTTCCAGGTGAGAAAAAAAAAAAAAAAACCTTTCATGCAAGGCTCGTCAAAATATTGGGTGCTGGAAAATATTGGCCATCCACATTCAGTCCTTATTGAGAACTCTACTCTATGTTCATGTCCTGCGGCCGCATTGAAAAACACTGCAAAAGAGCGCAAGCATGCACCTGACCTTGCCACACCAGTCTGCTCCTGCACAATAAATTCTGCTTGCTATGGTCACCAAATGTCAATAGATGCACATGCCAATGCAGCGACTGAAGCCAGCTACCGGCACTCCATCTTCCAAATGTAGTCCCCTACCAGTGCAACAGTAGCTTGGGCTCCAAGCTAGGCAATCCCCCCCTGCAGATGGTTTTGTGGCATCCCTTCAATTTATTTCTAAAATTCTATGGATTTTTTCACCCTCCGTCGCATGGGTGTTACCATCTTGAAATCACGTGACATAGCCTCCATAAGGTGGCTTCAAATCGTCGTGCCTCTCTCCCCTTCGCGAACGCAATGTATTAGTTTTTTCGTCGCGTTTTACCGCAATTTTACAGCGAAGCTGTATTTCACTCGGTAAGTTTTCTTTTGTGTCTGTCAACACACCAGTAGTGGACAGAAAAGCATTGTGCGCTCCTTGTCTTCTATCGTGTAGTTTTGACGCTTGTAGTTTTCAATAAGAAAACCACAAGTGTCAAAACCACATGTTCGATAAGGCGTGCACAAACAATGCGAAACACATAGTGCTCCCTGCATGCGTCTCTCGGTAAAAACTGTGGTTTCATAAGCTGCCGTGGCAACGACGCCATACAAAGTCTTTCACATAGACCCTTTAGCTGTTTACAACAAGAACTGCTGCTTGCATCCCAAGCGACTTCCGATCGCTCAGTCTTTGCAAGTCTCTTGAGCTTGCTTATGCCACCAGTGCTAGAAAGAATAAATGCTACACGGAGAACAAAGTTGGAGATTTAATGAGGGCATTTGGCTGCACAATTTAATGTCTTGGAGGAGGCAAGTTGGTTTACAAAATATTCGAAACATATTAACATACTGTAAAGGACTTAAATTTCGCAAACCGCCTACATTTCGTGCAAAATAGGTCACGCGAACGATTCCGGTAAAACGTAAACACATTGGAATCTATGATGAGATTCCACCATGTCACGAAAATTAGAACCCTCGAATTATTCCAAAACTTCAGCTTTAACCTGAATTGCGAGATATTGAGCCCGCGAAAAATAAGTCGTTTACAATATCTCCCATTTCTTCGTTGTTTTTTTTTGGCGTTCTTTCTGTGAATCGGAAGTTCGCTGGGACGTCAAACTGGAGCACCGCCTGGTGGCATTTGCAAAGAAAATGGTCTTTACAAGAAAATGGTCTTTACAAGAAAATGTTTTGGTACAGTGCATTTACTTTTGCTTTGTCAATCATTTGGTATAGTGCAGTGGGCAATGGTTGCAGGTGACACCACAGCTTTGCTGGCCAACTATCTTTACAGCATGAATTTTTTTATTTTGTCTTATACTTACTACCGAACTGCATGCCATCATTATGTGCGCAACTTCTGCACATTATTTTATATATGCACCGTCGAGGAAAGGAATTTGCTTATGTGTTAGTGGTGCAATAAGAAGCACAAGGTATATTTACACATTTACGATCTTAAAGAAGACTGCAAATATAGACAATGTAAGTAGTCACTGTGTGTTTCTTGAAAGCATCAAGCTCTGCCTTCATAACAAATCCAAAAGTTGCTTTTGATTATATGGAGGAATCATGATTGTAGTAAAAACATTTGCTTGATCTATTTATGAATTTAAATAAACTACCGTGAAATTCCAAGAGATGCCCCACCCTCGAAAGATAGCCCACCCCTATTTTTAGCTTGATTTGCTATTTTTTTTTAAAAACCGAAAGATACCCCCAGACTCCTAATAATAGTAGTATTGGGGTCAATGATGACCTCGGCGTAAATACGGCCAGTTAGCTATGGCGGAATATAAGCGAACGTTGCTAACTGTGGGAAGTACAGTTATCTTTGCTTCGTTGCCCTTCGCCACCATAACAAGCTTGAAAGGAACATGACCTAAAAATAGTAATGTTTTAAAATTTTCTTCATTGTACACCGAAAGTTAGGCCACTCCATATTTTCACCTGATTTGCTCTTGATAGGTGGGTTATCTCTTGGGACTTTACGGTATACAAATAATTTATTTAGACACACAGGGTTGGCTCCTGGGGTGAAAAACGTGTCAAAGAAAACTTGAGTGCCTCACAAAAGTGCCCGAGGCACATAATATGTGACGCTGAAAAGAGACTGTCATCATGTGGTCAAGGCATTTAGTGATTCTTCAAACAATTGTTTTTCTTTTAAGTCTCTAACCTCCTGAAGAAGGTTAGTCTGGCCGGTACATAATGCAAAACAATTTCAAAGGCTTTGTTAAGCAGGGCTTCTCGCAGTTTATTAATAGGGCAAAGATTAGTCTCAATATCCCTGCCAAGAAGTAAAAACAACATGTAACTAACACTTTCGACATAGCCATTTAACACAAACTGTCACTGTCAAAATCTAGGTCTCATTGGCATCCAGGGCTCACTAGCACAGTTAGTCCTGGGCTGCTGGCACGCAAGGCATGTGGCATCGTGGCAAGCTCGGCTGGCGTGGGTGGGTTACAGCAGAGCCGTGTATACAGAGAGTTTGATCAATGGGAGGTGTGGGCAGAGCCAGGGCGTGTACCAGACGCAGAAAGTGGGCTAGGCATGCTCGCTTGGGCAACCAGAAGCCTAAAATCCTTTAGCGGTGGTAGCGAGAAACTGTTTTGGTCCAAGGTATATGTTGGTATAAGGTCTTAAAGGGACACTGACACCCCCCCAAAAATTTTTTTTAATTTTTTGCCAGGCGCTTCATTATGGTGTCGGAGGACTACCCAATTAATACTTTGCAACAGAGTAGCGTATTTTTTTAATAAAGCCAAAAGACGCAACTGCTCGAAACCGAAACCGAAACACGACGGAGGTCGGTGAAGTGGAGAGAAGAGAGTGAGTGGCGGAAGTCACGTGGCTACACCCGACCGTGCGTTTTTTTTTTTGTTTGTTTTTTTCTCCTCTCCGGTAGCAGACGACACGACATGCGGCGTGCGGGAACTGCTCGCCGCGCGATTCTTTCGCAGTTATGTTTGTTCCGCTCGTTGTTCTGTACTCCAAGATGAGTTGTTTTGTACATTGAGGAGTTGGAGATGAGTAGTGAGTGCCCGTGGTGAATTCACCCGTGGTGAATACACCCAAGATGTTGCCAAGAAGAGCTGGCTAACATGTCCTGCATCCGAAAAAAAGTGGCATTGTGCGACAGAGTTTCCGAAAGATCAACGGGATCGGGACCAATGGTTTCTGCAATTCCTGTAGAAAATATACGGACACCTCGAAAGCGGACGCTACCTGATTTATATGCTCCTTGCATTTTGTGGAAAGTGATTACATTGAGTTCGCAGGTGTCAAAACGGAAATCCCATACCATTTAATTCAGCGAAGTATCGTCGACAACATTTCTTTATTTTCTTGTTTGTTTCTTCAGTGATGATTGTAAAAAAAAAAAAAAAAAAAAAAATGTAAACATCGGAAAATGTTTGAAAAAAAAAAAAAAAAGAGTTGCACGGGGGATTTTTTTTGTTTGTTTCTTCTGTGATGATTGTAAAAAAAAAAAAAAAAAAAGTAAACATTGGAAAATGATTGAAAAAAAAAAAAAAAGAGTAGCACGGGGGGATCGAACCCGAACCAACCGACTGTGAACCGGACGTCTTTCCCACTGAGCTACAGGGGCATCTCTTTTGTGGTGGATCTTTTTCCTTAGTAATAATTCAGCCGGTAAACTGTAAGTTGGAAAGTTTGCTGTCGATTTTTCTCTAGCAAAAGCACTGCCGGGTCGAAGTCGGGAAGCACCACGCTTTGGGGACATTCGCACCTAGTAAAGAAATCGTACGCGTGCATATTCAACTCGAAGTAGACACGTCGTGCTTGACGTTTGCGCGAGCGATGTCTTCAGCCACGAGAAGGGAATTCGTTTGATCAGTCCCAAATTTCTTTTTTAACGGTAGACAGAATTCGCCGGTACCGCGAACGACAGTTCTGAAATAGAGGTCCCACGCCCGTCGTCCGCCGCCATCGCCGTCCCCGCGGGTCCCACGATACGCGAAACGACGAACGCACAGAATGCTTCCAATTGTCTGTGGAACTTTTTTTTTTTTTTTAATCAACGTATTTACAGCTTTTTAGAAGCCACAAAAAATGGGTTTCATAATTTTTTCTATTTTTAATATCGAGTGTGTGCCTTCAGTGACCCACGACTTTGATTAAATTTGGTGGTCGCATCGATACCTTAGAAAACGGCCCGTGACCGCGGAAAAGAGAGTGAGCGAGACTCGAATTCTTGATCGGCGGTTTTCGGGCGGAAAGAAACCGAAATTCGAGCCGTAAATTCTGTTCTGGGTAGTTGAGCTCTCATATGTCACGTACAACTAAAAACCTCGGCGAGCATAAATACCCTGTCAGTGTCCCTTTAATAAGCACGTAAGAATGAAGTGTAGTACCCTTTATGGTTCAAAATAGGGTGCACGTGATGTTTCGATCATGATCATGCAGAAAGATGTAAGAAATGAATGCGCCACTCAACTCTGTTTTGCTCGGACAGAGTGTGACCGCTCGGACGGCAGATTCCCGGCCCTCGGCGCTTGGCGTGTGGATTATGTCGATCGTTTCGCTGGTCACACTCTTCCAACATGATTGAAACATCACGTGCACTATATTTTTAGTCACCGAGAGTTACTCCGACACACTTGTAAGGTTTGTTTCTCGCGACCACCGCCAGGGTATTATTTTCGGCTTATGGTTGGCCACATTCGAATTTCTGAAGATGCCCTGGAACACGCCCAGCCCACTTTCGGCCAATGGCGCCTCCTCATTTGTCTCCTTTACTTCCCAACGAATGGCCAAACTCTCTACATATACGGCTTTGGGTTACAGGCGCAGTCCTCTCGTCAAGTGAACAGGGTCAGTTCTGGTTGTTGCCCCAACCTCCAGCCACCGCCAGAAAAGTCAAGTGTCGTGCTTTTGTCTGCAATCAAATCTCGGCCCAAGATCACAGGCACCACAATTTCACAGTGCTGATTCTGTTCCTGTTAAGCTGCATTTGCGGCATCCGGGCTCCTCCAGGTGAGGATGCTGTGCCAGAGGGTAATTGTAAGCGTGTACACATATTGAGGCTTACCTCTTTCGCTTTTGGGGGTTTAAAGCAAAGTCTCCTGTAAGAGAGATAATGGCCCCACCACCCAAAAGCATAATGGCACACCGATGGGATCAGTGTCACTGCCTCACTGCTCCCAGGGACAGTAACGGCCATAGGTCACTTGCTGTTTGGGTTCAGCGTCTCTGCTGGTTTCTTTGGCCATTCGTCGCCACGGCGTTCCACCTTTGCTTGTTTGTAGGTTCTGCCAGTCACTGCTTTTGAAGATGGTCAGGCTGCTCACACTCGTGGCAGTGGACAGACGACAGGTGCCTGCCTAGGTTCTCACGTACCAAGGTTTCCTTTGGACCGCCTCGCATCTGAAGTTGCTCTCTGCAGTGAGTGCAGATAACAAAGAAGCCATCAGGTCGATGAGAGCACTAGGAGACGCAAGGCAACGCACAACACTTGAGCAATGAAAGGGAAGTCGGCGGCTGAATTCACTGAACCGCATGTGCTAAAAGTGCGAGCTAGTGCAATTGCTTAAGATCACGTGGTACGAGCGCTCCTGCAGTGGGTGCTCCAGACATGGCAATGAAGGCTACTCGCTCACCGCTTGCACGGCCTTCGCAGCTATTCTATGCAAGTGTGATAATCGGTTGTATTACACACAGCTACAGCTCCAGAAAAGTGTGTACAAAAAATTACTGCGGCTGGGCTCTGTCGCCTCTGGTACACGTAATCTTCATTTGCAGCAGGAGTGACGTTAAAGCAAGGGTGCAGGCAAGCTGGTTGAATATAACAATTTTAACCCTGGAGAGTGGGGACAAGCAGGACAACACGACACAGATCTCCAAACCAACACCGAGCGACATAATTCTTTTCTCACGTCGCGCACAGCTCTAAAATCACGACTATTAGTCCTAAACGAACTGTCAACAATGGTACTTAACCTTTTCACAGATTGATCTATAAAGGCTGACCTTTCATTGTCAGATGAGATTTTGTGTGCTACCTCATGAATATTTGCTAACATGTCTATTCTTAAGGGTTTTGCGTTCAAACAAAACTTGGGGCTTTTTTCTAATACACGTGAACCCGAGGCAGACAAGGGTACATCAAAAGGATCATAAATCTGACTCCTTTCGAAATCCGGTGCGTTAAGAAAGGTTCTAATGAGGCTGCTCGCTGAAGATGTAGAACGAAGGTCTGAAGGTTGCGTACTTTAGCTCTGCGAAACTTTTAACAGTTGGGTTCTTTTCGACAGCCAAAGGCGATGATAGGAGTCTCGTTTCAGTCGATACCAAGCCTTGAGGTTCAGCGAGGAGGTGAAGTTCTCTCCGTGGACAGCAACCCACAGCTTAGTTGACGCTTCATGAACGAACTGAAGTTGATCACACTTGAGGATTCTTCTCTTAAAACGCAACTGAAGGTTTGCAGAAGTCAGATATCTGAAGTTAGAACCTCCACCACATTGTTTCCGTAGCGCAAGGCTGAAGTAGCGTCCGACTCCAAGTCCGCAGCACGATGACCAAGCTGACATAAAGGTCTCTCGGATTCATTAGGGAAAGAACAGAAGTAGATATTGGGCCAATGTCTGCCTTAGGTAGAAGTAATGAAGTTAAAGCAAGGATGCAGGCGAGAGGTGACTACAGACATTTTAACCCTGGAGAGTAGGGAGGGCAACACGACACAGGGGTGCTATGTTGCGCTTTTTGCACTCCCAGGAAACTTGGAAGAGTGAAGTGACGTCAACGACACAGCAAATGCAGATTGGATGTTGACAGAAGAAAACAAAATCAACACCCAATCTGCGTTTGCTGTGTCGTTGACGTCACTTCCCTCTCCCTAGTCTCCTGGGAGCATGGAGAATAGAAGGGTAGGAGAGGGCATGACGTCGGCCGCGTAGCCTCCACAAGCCATGCTCCCTTGACGCCTCGCCTCTTTCTCATTTTTTTCCTTACTCTCCTCACTTACCATGCCAACGTGACCACATCACGTGACCGTAGCTAGACTTCGTCTTGCTGTGGGGTACTAGAATACACCACAGTCTAGCCTTCGATCTGATAAAACCTACCGGACGGAGCGCGCGCGAGCCTGGAAGGAGTACTTCTACAATCAACCGTCCATCTCACACGTGACATGTCACGCGCACCAATCACCAGACAGATCTGCGGTCACGCTGGGCACAAACTACTGGGTGAAACAAGGAGACGGTAGGCTCTTTAAACCGACCGAAAAATTCGGTTTCTTAACCTATCGCGCTACGACTTTGTGCAGCGTTGCCCACAGATGGTGCATTTTTTTTTGTAAAATTTGCAAAGAGCGAACTTACCTGAGAAAAAAGTAAAGAAAGAAAAAGGCTTAGCTCCTATGGAAACGCAGCGACGCCACCGGTCTGCAATCAACACGGCGCCGTTTTGCACGGTAGACAAGAGATGGCGCAACGAACGCCGCCAACGAACGAGCATACGGGCACCGAGAGCCGGCCGAGGTATTCCTCAAAGGCTCTTTAGCAGACGATCTTCTCGACTCAAAAGCGGCGCGCGTTCCGCAGGCGGCGACAGTCGCAGAAACAAAAAAAACAGGCGCGGTAACAACAAGGAACTGCAGTTCCTTGTCTGCTAATTACGCCGGCTCTCGGCGTCGTCTGCTCGTTCGTTGGCGGCAGTTGGCGTCGCGACCGCTTGCGCCATCTCTTGTCTACCGTGCAAAACGGCGCCGTGTTGATTGCAGACCGGTGGCGTCGCTGCGTTTCCATAGGAGCTAAGCCTTTTTCTTTCTTTACTTTTTCCTCAGGTAAGTCCGCTCTTTGCAAATTTTACGAAAAAAATGCACCATGTGTGGGCAACGCTGCACAAAGTCGTAGCGCAATAGGTTAAGAAACCGAATTTTCCGGTCGATCTAAAGAGCCTACCGTCTCCTTGTTTCACCCGGTAGTTTAAACTTTTTATGACTAGGCTTCACCAATATCGCAACGTGCCCCCTCCTAGTACTTTTTGCACTCCCAGGGGAGTGCAAAAAGCGCAACATAGCCCCCCAGATCTCCTCCAAAACCAACTCCGAGCCACATAATTTTTTTCTCGGCACTGGGCGAAATTCGAAAATGAAAGCCGCTTATAGCCGATTCACACGACGGACCAAATCGCGATATTCGTCCGCGGACCGTGTACCACGTGACCGGCACGTCACCGATTCCTGCGATCCGCGCCTCCTCCGCGGAGGCGCGGACTGATAAAGTCGAGCGCCTTTTTCACTCGCGGACGTTTGGCGGCAGACTGACTTGGAAAGCATTCAGTCTGGCAACGGTACATGGTTTTCTTGGTATTTTGCTTCTGGTCGTTCAAAACAAAAATGGCGCGTCGTTGCGTTTTGTGCGTTTGTTGGTTCATTTTGTCGTACGATTCTTGGTTCCACGCTTGAGAGAAACGCCAGAAACTTTGTCCGGCTGACGCGACGCAGGTTCCGGTGCTCCTCCGGGTCCGTGTCAAGAAGCTCCCGTCGAAACTCGTCTAGCACGCCGCGATAATTATTTCACGTCCAATCAGGATTTCACCGAGCAAGCCCTCTCTTGTGCATGTGGTGTGCAGCGTGCTTGAGTGTTGTGCACGAGCGCGGAGTGTGTGAAGGCATCTCCAAACGCCTCTCCGCGAGCCCAGAAGTTCGTCGCGTCTACGCCGAAGCTTTCTCGGGCAGGATCATGCCTGTGTCACTGTCATGCTTTGGGTTAGTAAAGTTAGTGGCGCTTCGCGCGAAGCCTGTCCGGGTGTTTTGTTCTCGATCTGTACGTAGCAGCGGCGTACGATTCTTTATCGCGGTAGCAACCGTCGATTTTTCTCTTGGACAACGGTGCTACTGTGCGATGTTGGAGTTTCGCGGCACTGTGGGGTGCGAACAGGTTCAGTCCGTCCTCACTGGCGTCTGCTCGTCGTCTCCCTCGTGTGGATGCGCTTGGGAGACGGACGAACCGCGGACATGTCGTCACGTGATCAATCCGTCCGCGGATCAGTCCGTCGTGCGAATCGGCTATTACCACTGATCTCTATGGCTATTACCCACTGATGTTCCTGAGAACGCGACGAGCACAGGCTGCACGTCGACAACACACACCAGTGCGGACACCGCCGAGTCGCCGAGCGCCCGACCAACGTTGCACGCTATTTTTTTTTTTGTCAAAAAAAAACAAACAAAACAAATACAAACCACTGTGACGTCACGGATGTCAAAATAACTTATTCTAACGTCTGTGACATCAGTGGCCACGCCCTCTGTACTTCAAATCGGTGGCCAACGTTGCCATGCTGTGACGTCATGACTTGCGGAGGTCATAATATTTTTTCGACCGAGTTTGTAGCCAACATCAAGGCGCTTACCCTTCAATTTTGGTAGAAATATTCGTTCCAAATACTGAAAGGTGTAGCCATTATAGAAATGTAACTTACAAGCTTTAGAAGCAGCAGTTTTGGTTTTACATGCAGACAAATTCAACGTGTAATCCAATCCAAGCCAAGGTATCTTGCTGCGCGCGCGAAGACAATCGGGCCGATCGGGCCATCGGGCAGTCATTGTCGTGTCGTCGTCGTAAACGTCATGACCGCGAAAATGGCACGAGCTGCGGATAGCCACGAACGCCTTGCAGCCTTGCTAAGTGAAATGCTCAACGACAAGGTGACCCGACGAGAAGTCGAAACCCCGACGAGCGAATTTATGACGAAAGTCTTCTACGGCGTTTTCAAGGAGGCGGGCCTAAACGAGACCGCCTTCGAAATGTCCCAGTTCCTCGTGCCGGCACACGTGAGCAGCTTCGTGCCAACACTACACCTCAACAAACTGATGCAGGTGGTCTTTACGAAGCTGGGCGTCCCCGACTTCGGCCTATCCGACATCAGCGTCCCGTCGCCGAAGCGCAGTCGTAAGCTGCTCTCGATACTCTGCAACTTCTGGGTGCGACTGGGTCGGCAGTGGAACATGTGGTCAGACATCGAGGTGGGCCTCGCCGCCGCGAAAACTGACCGCGAAGCCAAAAGAGCCGAGCTGGACGCGGTCAAGGCCAAGGTCAACCAGCTGTCCCAGCATCCCGGCATCAACCCGAAGAGGCTGGCGGCAGCTCAAGGAGAGCTCGCGGCCGAAAACAAGGCGCTGGCGACCAAAGAGCCAAAGCAGCTGGTTGTGATGAACGACTACAAGAACTTAAAAAGTGCCAAATGCCAGGTGACCGAGCAGCTGAAGAAAAGGTTTGTTTTCGTCGCTCCTATCTATTCAGTTGACGAGTACTGACACGAGAATGCCGAGTTCTGGTTCGCATGATTAGTGGCTAAGCCGCTAGACCCAAAAGCTGCCTGCCTTTGTTTCCACTACACTCGTCGAACGCGTCCGAATGCGAAAGACAAATGGCGGACGCCGGCGTTCCGCGTTCTAAAGCGTTTAATGAGTGCAGTGGAGCCTGCTTGAGGTCTCCCCACTAGTCATTCCAACCGGAGCTCTGGCTACCTCAGTTATTCGGCGCATTGTCCCATTTCCTATTTTCCACCAACATACAGTGCCTAAGGGACCTTCACAGTGCCTCCTTTCAAGCATTTTTAAAAAAAATGAACTGTTGGGTAAACACGGCACAAACATACTAATAATCTTAATTCAATGCTGAGGGGTTGTGACAACAAAGAAGGGTCATTCGCCCATGTCTGAGGCCTGCAGCGACGCGTAATGAGGCAATTTTTCTCGTGTATGTTTGCGGCTTTCCGTGCCAATACTGCATGAGAATGTCGCTTTGATTGGACCTTTTGTACAAATTCATGCAAGCAAGCAAGTGATTAACCTAAATGGCCGTCGTTCAGTTGCTCTTCTGTTTTAGTCAAGTTTTAAGTCGTGGCAGATGAGAATTGCTCCTTTGATCACCTCAAAATCCTGTTTCAATTTGTTTCAGTTTCAATGGTGTGAACATAAGAATTGACCAGTACAAAGTGGCGACCCACAAGTCCCTCGGTTAAATATCTGCCAACAAAAGCTTTTAGAGCCAAGTTTTGTGTGGTTAGTGGGTGGTGTAGCACAATGACATATTGAACATTCAGGCCTCGTATGTCCTCGGCTTGTGGTAGTATCTTCTTTCTTCCTTCACCAGGCTCAAGAAGGCTGCCATTAGTTTGGCGCAGATGTCATACATAGATGGATGGATGGATGCTAACGACTGTACCCTTTATAACGGGCGGTAGCTTGCGCCACCTACCCGCGGTGACGATTGGGATCAAAGTTGCCATAGTGAACTTCGAAAAGGGTCTGTGGTCTCGCGGTCTGCCACACCCAGTGCATTCTCTGCAGTGAGGTGGAGGTCCTCGACCTGAGGTCTGTAGTGCACGACGTCCGAGCCAGAATCTGCCATTCGCCAGAGCGGCAGCGACGGTGCTTGGCTGAGGAAGCGGAGACAGCGTCTCAGCTGCAGGAGGAGCATCGTCATCTGCAAACCAGGGTAGAGGAGTTGCGCTGCAAGATGCAGAAGGCTCCGAGAGAGCGAGAGGCCTTGACCAAACTCAAGACCCAGGTGCACTCCAGCCTGGCCGTTGCGCAGCGTCTGGAGTCGTTGGTGCAGGACAAGGACAACGCGTCTGCGCACAGGTCCGTCCCGTACTCCGTCTTTTTTTATAGCCCTCCATCGCACCGCCTAAAACCGCAGTGGCAACCTGGGCGGTTGTCTTGTGACAAGTTTGCTGCGACTTGTAACGTCGGAGTTCGGTGAGACTCGTAACGTCCTTGGGAACATCCGGAGCTTGCTTAAAAAGTGCTCTTCTCTATCCGTGTTGTTTTGAGGTTGGTTCACATATTGATTGTGCTGCACTCGCTTCCAGCCAGCTGCGACCAGAGGACGTACTGGCGCTTCCATTTTGCCTAGTATATATTTTCTGCCCTGCCGCAGCGCAACTGCCCCCCGTAATCTCGTGGCTAAATGAATGTTTCCCTCATGCTCGTACAATCTAATTTTTTTTATGCATCATTCACTTACCGTGGTCACGAAATAATTCTGACAATGTTAGAGGCAACCATTGCTCGTATGTAATGCATAGATTTGATCTCGCAAAAACTGCAAAACCTTGTCTGTGGACTAGACGTGCTCCGGAGCCGCCTCGGTGGCTCCGAGGCAAGAGCGCCGGCCTATGGATCCCCAGGTGGCGGGTTCGAATCCCGACCGAGGTGCCCGCAATCTGACGGAAACTTATTGCGGAGAAGGCGCCGTGTAACCGAGCTTTCGGTTGCACGTCAAAAGATCCCCAGGTGGTCGAAATTAATCCTCAGTCCTTCGCTGGGGCGTGCCAGATGCCCGTTTTAGGTTTGGCACGTAAAACCCCCAAATTTGACTTTTCTAGACGTGCTCCGGGGCTGCCTGACAGATGGTGTTCGTGTGCCCTCGTCGTAAGCAGTTGCGAGAGATCGCGCAACACGCTAAACACATATGTGTAAATAAGCCTTTAAGCATAATTCTATATCAGTAATAGCTAACCAAATATTAATTTTGTTTTGTTTTCTTTAGGGGAGCATTTTAAAGGCAGGTCTACGCTTTTGTATTCTCTGCTTTGTTTTATCGAGGGGAAAGTTCCACGGGCTTTCCGAAAAGAGGAGGAGTGCGCATGCGCAGCCTTGGGTGCAGCTCGAGGCGCGTGAGCACACGTGTTCCCATACCTTTGACTGCATTGCCACAGAATGTCGTCCCCGATTATAGCAGAATCCGAGAAAGTTGTCCCCTCTCCAACTGCTTGAGTTATGATCTCGTCCTCGTACCTTTGGTAACACTGCCCGTAACTGTAATTATTGACAAAGTGACAGCGGCGGGAAGAAGCTGTTCTTGCCCCGATTTGCCCGTGCTTTTGAACGCAGGAAGAGTGCGGAGGACAAATACCACCGCCTGCTGAAGGAGAGGGAGGCAGTGGCCGAAAAGAAAAGCCAGCTGAACGGCCAGACAGCGTTAAAGCACCAGTCCATGCAGTCCCAGCTCAGTTTCAAGAAGGAGCAGTTGGCCCAAGCGAAGCAGCGCCTCGAGGAGCTCAGTCTCGAGCGCCAAGAGGTGGTCTGCTTCAAGGATTCCGAGGTCTGGCACTGCCAGCTGGCCGCCATTCTACAGTAGGCAAGGAGGTTATAATGGGCAGGAGGTGGCGTAACGTCACGGAAGTGGGTGTGGACAAAAAGTGTCCCCACAGTCTTTCGGCCAACAGGAAAATAGTTCCGTGTGCTCTGCTTTTTGTGCCAAAATAGGCAACGCTTATGCTTCCCCTCCCTCCTCAATACGTGACACCTTTCCTCTTTGTCAAGTTGAGAGCCAAAGAGAAAACCTCTGTAGTGTCCTGCGCAACAAAGGCTGCTTGCACTCAGCATCGTGCAACATACGGCAGTTTGCTCTTGGATGTTCCATTCTGGTTGTGAACTGCAAAGGGTGCATTTTTCACTCTTCCTATGAAATTCGCACGAGCGTGCAGGTTGCTTTGCCATATTTGGGCATCTTCTTCTGCGGGCCCCCAAATCCCGTATTACTAATTTTAAGGCGAAATCAGATGAACGCAATCTCCCTTCGTGTCTGTTTGCACCAAAGAAACCTGCATCTCGTTTCGTGCACATCCTACCGTTTGCTGCCTTGGTACGACTGTGGTCGGACAGCATAAAGGTTTCCGTTGCACTGTGTCCCACTGCTTGTGCATGGGATGCGTTAAAAACAATTTACAGAATGTTTTTCGCCACAAAAACAAACATATTGCTGGACGTTCGGCCTTTGCCCAAATGTGGCACTATACTTTGTTTCAGCTTCCGTCATTGCATTATAAAAATGTTGGAAGAGTCAATGATGTGGTCGGTCATTCATGTTATTTTTCCTACACGCACCTCCAGCCTTCGTTTACGTAAAGCCCCAATTGCCCCTTAGCTACAGAAATAATTTGTGCGACAGACTAGGCGGCAGCATTGTGGAAGGAAACTGGCCTGATTATATCTGCCATGTTTAGAGGCTACATTTGATGACAGGTTATGTATTCAGTGGCAAATTCCCCCCAAAAGAATCTACATCAACTCCGCCAACCAATCGCTGCCGTCAGTTGTCGTGACGTCACGTCTAGCAAAGAAACCAGAAACTAGTATTTTTTTTTTTTTTTTTTAAATGGCAGGTCTCTGTTGTTGATGCCACATAGCACGTCGACCACTCGAAGCAGTTCTTCCGCTCTTGACCTCTCCGGTTTCACCTTGCGAAGTCGTGACGGTGTCTGCTTTTGTTTGCGGTATTTCTCGTGTGTCAACGTGAAAAGGTAGCGGTTATGTCGCCAAGGAAGTAGCAATCAATCTGTGCATTTGCTCCAGTGACACAGTGTTACAAACCGGACTTTGCCTTTCGCCAAGGGCAAAGTCTAACGACTGGCCCTACAGTTGCCAGCATCGTGCAGCCGTGAATACGTAACTTCCCCGAATGCTTTCATGCTTTCGTCTGTATACAGTGACAAAATGACTCGCTGAATGCGAAACGCCATACAGCAAACTACAGTAGACTCATTAATTCAAACTACAGGAAGTCACAGGTTTTAGTTTGAATGATCAGAAGTTTAAATTATCAGAAATTCATCTAAGCATGATACTAGACGACATTATGATTTGTTACATAGATAAATACTCATACAAAGCAGATTTTTGCCAGTTTCCTCTACATAGGCCTAATTATAAGCAAGTACAGGCATAACACATTGGTGAAAGAGCTGTGACGTTAAGTTTATTTATCCGGCAAAAAAGTTGTCGATTCTGGACTGTTTAGACAGCACATACGATCTCGAAACAAAATTTTCAATACCAGCCAACGCAAGTAGCCCTTTACGGGACTCTTCCTTTGCAGACAGAAATTTCTGGAGTTGAGCGATGTGCTCAAAGCTGTGGCTGTGACAGTTGGTAGCAAGTCATCCCTTTCTTCATCGTCATCTTCACTCACTGCTGCACTGTGGTGGCATTACTTCCTGTACTATGTCCTCTAATGAGTCATCACGACAAACACACGCATCGTCGTCAAGACTAGCATATTCCGCCAAATCGGCGTTCACATCATGTGCTTCAAGGCCAGAAAGCATGACGCCGTTGAGCTGGTCCTTATCCCCAATGTCGTCTTGGTCATCATTGCTAGTCTTGAAGCACATAATGGGAACGCTGTTTTCCGCTAATGTGTGCCCGCTTGAGCCCCATTGAGTGCGCACATCTTTCCGAGCACCAATGCACTGCAGAGAAGCAACACTCGCAAAAGCAAGCTCCACAGGTATTGCTTCTCTGCGGTGCACCAGTGCTCGGAAGAGGCGCACTCAACGGGGCCGCGAGAACAAAAAAGTATGAATTAAGCGAAAACGCCATTCGAATTAGGCGACTTATAAATACATAAAAAACATAGCGTGACTACCAAAATTTTCAAATCTGTTTGAATGAACCGAAAGTATGAAATATCCGAGTTTGAATTATCGCGAGCCTATTGTATCAGTTACTTTCTGCAGCAACTTTGCACTTAACATTGCAATAAAGTGATATTTAGGCTACCGTAAAAAACCGGGCAAGCACCGGTCATCAATTTTACAAATAAATGTACGGTGCATACTTTTCATATCTTAGAAATTTGGATATGGGCGTTTAATGTGCAATGGGTGAATGCACGGTATTCTACTATAAATTCATTTTTTCGGACTGCTCGATTAATCTGAGCTTTGCATGACCCCATCGAGTCCGAAATATTGGTCGGTGACTATCAAACTTAAACACAATGGTTACACACCACAGGTCCAGAGGACCAGGACATCAATGAGCTGGCCTTCACCTCGTCCTAGGCAGCAGCGGAACACTATGGGCGGGACCCTGGGTCACTGCACCGGCCGGCTCATGGCTGCTGTCCTGTACCCTGCACGGCACTGCGTGTGGCTTAACTGGCCAAGCAGAGGGTCATCGCGTGACTTTTATGAGGCGTCGCTAGCCATTGTAAGTATATTTTTTGACACTCATGTCTGGTGATGTACTTTGGTGCTGTACAACGGAATACATTTGGTGGCAGTTCAATCTTGCCAATTAGGCCATTTTGAAACGGAACACATTTAGTGGTGGCTCGGTTTAGGTTTCCTGGCTTGGCAATCTTGCAGCAGTGTCTGGACTCAACACAAACCTTTTTGTACTTCATTGTCAGGGATAGTGTAATTTCTGCAATGCTGTCAAAGCAACTTCTGTACGCGAACAAGATGCAAGACGAAGCCACATGCTCGTGCCCAGTGTACGACTACATGTACTCATGAGCACTCGTGCCCATGCATAGTTCATTTCGGCGTTGCCACTTCACGCGTCCATGCACTCGCTGCACCTTGAGAATCAAGTGTGCACCACAGTGCACTCCTGTCATGCATCACTCACGAGAGGAACGAGAGCAGACAACTGGGGTTTTTCCGCCATAAGAGACGGGAGAACAGAAAAAAAAGGAAGCACGTCCCACGGGCAACAAAATTGGACGCGAGCTGGGCTATTTATTCTGTGAAGCAAGCAATCAACAACCTGTGCTTTATTTGCAAGTTTTCAGTCATTTTGTTGCTGCACGGACGTTGAAATACAATAGTGGATAAATAAAGGTTCAGAACAAACGTCAGCTACCGCGAGATCTCTGTCGCCATCCGTGCGGGGGTGGAAAGTTTGGACGTTAGTTGACAAACCTCGCCCGCCCCCAGTCCATCACCTGACCCCATTCTGCGAATGTGGCTATATGCGAGGGAGCGTGATCATGTTCAAGTGCTGCTGGCCCAAAGAGCACATAGTTTCCCCAGCACTGTCAGCTTAGGGGTGCACAGGAGTTGTGCGTAGTACTGCGGAAGCCACAGGTCAGAGAGGGGGGGGGGGGGGGGGGGGGGTAGTTGACAACTTTTGTCCGAATGGTAGGCAAAGAGCATCAAGGACCAATTTTCTAGGAGAAGATTGGTGGTGAGCAGGTACAAAAATAAGGGTCCAAGCACAATGAGCAAGAGGGGAGTTCTTGCTTTTCCTTCTCTGGTACTACTATACTCCGTTTCACCTTACGTAGGACCGCAGCGGAAGGCTGGGGGCTGTGACGCGACCCAGACAAGTTGTTCCTACGCATCGCGAAGTAGTGCGTCAAAGACCTTGGGCAGTACGAAGCGTGGATATACTTCAGCCTTAGTTTAATATTTTTGTGTCGTGTACCATCAACACAAAAACAACTTTTGTATTCAAGAAGAGCTTTCAAACGTGATATTTAATACAAAATTAGGTAGCATGTCCGGAGAAATTAAACTTTTAGTTGGCAACGCTGCCGTTGTGTTTGTTTCTTCATGCGTTTGGTTCAGGTTTGATTTCCATTTCATGGCGTGATCTTAAAAAAATGTTTCTTCCAAAGAGAAGTTTTTTTTATTTAACAGTTGTTGTACACTCTGTAGAACTCTGATAAATGTATATTGAAAGCAATCATTTCAACTTCACAAATACTTTTTGCCCATGTTTAAGATGTAACGTGACAAATTGTCGTTTGCGTAATGGCTGCGGCATCGTCAAGCATGTCTCCGTCAAAGGCGCCGGTACTTTCATCACCCGCTCGCTTCCAGATGACATTTGCTAAAACCTCGCTTGGAAAAGAGGCGTGCCAAGTTGAGCTGAACGTTTACTACAATAATTGGGGCCAACATCGCTAGGTGCGAATTCGCACAGTTCGAAGCTCAAGGGGCCTTCGCACGTTGGTGCCGTCTCTGAAACGTTCGTGGATTCAGAAGGCTGTGTTCACCGGGATCACGACGGACGAGCTGGTAGGCCATTGTAGTGAATGGAACAGAAAACATCCATTGACAACATGTCTGGTTGCGCCGTGAAGCGGAGATTTATTCGTCGATGCCGCATGGTTTTTGTGGAATTGGAGAAAAGAAACAAAATAGCTTTATACCGCCGTGCGTGATTCGTCACTCGCTCTCCGAGAGCTATAGTGTTAATAAAAGTTTCCCCACGTCGTGGCGGTCACATTAGGAGCTATTGTTAACGCACGCTCGGTTTTGCAGCAAAAACTATGAATTAAAACACTCACTTCGCTTGCTCTTTCACTTTTATTTACCGATTTATAAAACCCTGGCCTGCGCGTTCTGCATGCGAGCAGGAGTATGCGGCGAACTTCCAAGCAAGCAAGAGTGTTTCGGTTAAAGTCAAGGTTCGATTGTTACCGCTTACCTGAATTGTTGAGTGACTTAAAACGTGTAGATGGGTTTCTGTGCGCCACAAGTAAAGTGAAAGGCTTCTGCGGACCCCGCTTCTGCTCGACGGGTAAAGCTATCCGTGTAAGCCTATCCCACACAGAAAGGCGACGAAACCGTCGCGCGTCGATCTCGCAACTCCAGAATGCTCCAGCGTTCCGTAATAAGGGAAGAACATTACACAAGGTCAGATATGCTAATCGAAAACAGCAGATGCGATCGGTTCATCCCCAGTGAGCCCGCCTAAACCTTCCTGCCGGCGCCATTGCAACCCGCGCACTGATACCGCTGATACACGCTTGAGGAACAAGCTGACGTCACTTCTAAACATGCGCTTGATTGGCTCTGGCCGTCCGTAGCTTTGGCTCTGGGTCCAACGTAAGATGAAACGGAGTATATCGGTATACTAGCTTTAGGTCTACCCACTAGTCATTCCAAACAGGGCTCTGTGTTCTGACGTCCCCACACTCTCTCGTGTCCTTTTTTTCTCAGTGTTTTGGTACATACTCAAGTGCTCTGCATCATGGACAGATCTTTTTTTATTTTTTTGGAGGGGGGGGGAGGGGGGGTGAGTTGTGTTTCTCTTTCAGGTTAACTTTTTCTTAATGAAAAATCAACATACTCCAACTTTTCTTAGGAAGAAGTGATTAGTTTTTGGTGACATAACAAATATTAGATCAACAAAACATCTGGGCTACATTTTGCCCAAGAAATAGGTATCTCCTTGCAAACTCCCCCTTCTCCCCCACCCCACCCAGATTGACCTATAAATTCGCCCCTGCTCATTGCCCTGCATGTTCTGGTCAGATATTGTCTGTGTTGACCTGATGGACTCCTTTGTTCCCTGCATTCATCATAGGTTTCAAACCGTCCTGAATCATGGACGAAGCCTTGCAAGAATGCACTCTTAGGCCCAGTCCTTTTTGGTGGATCGGGTCATGCCATGTTCCCTTCTTGTGGGTTCCTGTCGTAATTAAATAAATTGTATTTTTTTTCTGATGATGGTGCATACCTACTGGTACACGTCACAAAAAGAGTGTGGTGAATCCATGCCATGGATTACTGTGAAACATGCGAGAAGGTAATTATACAAAAGATGGAAAGACGATAGATATCCCCGTTTAATTTTTTTTGCCACCTATGTCCAAAGTATTTCAGCCTATCGTGGCATTGGCTTTTGACCATTCACACTTTCAAGGGAAGGCTATCAGCAAGAAGGGTTCCCAAGCCTTTTCTGTTTGCAATAATTACTGAGAAAGGTTTATGCGGAGCGCAGGTTTCTCTGCTTTTTTTGCAGGGGTTGTGGTGAAGTCGAAATGCCAAGCTCCGATTGAAGGATGGTGGGTACACAATGCGAGCTGCCTTCAGGTCTACCCACTATCCTTTAGAGCTCTGCATTCTGACATCACCACAACCCCTGCAAAAGAAACGGACAAACTTGCGCTCCACTAGACATTGCCAAGAGGATTTCAATACGTCTAAATGCTTAAACTTTACACCATTTTGTCACCATGATTTTAATGAGGTTTTGCTAGGGGAAGTATGTTTTCCAGAGAGTTTGCAGTTGCCATACATAAATTTAAGGAAAAAAAACATTAACTACATTTGTCCTCAGAGTTTTTACAGAACACACATCGCTATCACCATCACTTTATTTGAATCACCATCACTTTTTATTTGGGTGGATAGCACTTGTGTTGAGATGTTTTACTTCCGCAAGTCCAAAAAGCATCCTTGCCGGGCAGCTGTCAACAGTCTAGTGTTGAGCCGAAGTGGGACGGTAATGTTGGAGATATGAAACGGAATAATACCCAGTGTTAAATATTTATTTGTTTGCTGGTCTGCTAGGCATCACTGAGGTGCTTTGTTTGGCTGTGTGCCTTTATTTTATGCTAATAGAATGTGCTGCACCCACAACTACTGCTTAGTCGCACTCGTGCAGGGGTCTACGACAGTTGACCGAACACCATTCCATAGAAGCATGTTTTCAACTACGGGCACATTTCATCGAAGCTCAGTTTACAGCAACATTAATTATTGAAAAAGGATCGCCATTTAGTGAATCTATTCGATGGGCATAAGCAAATCTGGAAGCACCTAAATGCTAGTGCGATTTACTGAGGCATATTTGCCTATGCTTTGAGCACTCGCTCTTCTCTCTTAGGTTGTAAATCAGGCAAAACGTAAAAGTATTCTTGCGAAAACAGCAGGGTTGTGACGTGCACAGAACATGTCTATCATACTCTGAATGTGCTGGCCGCCCAAGCGAGTGATTCGCTGACTGGCTCGGCTTCACCGTTGGCTGAGGCAGAGCAAGCAGTCGAGTTCGGTGAACTGTGTTTTCCCGAAAACAAATTTGCTAAAAGGAGGTTTGTTGCCATTTTCTCTAAACTGTGTCTTTCTGAAAGGATTTAATAAAATGTTTTTTTTTTTAAACAGGTGCTTGAGAAAATAGGTGCCTCCGCTCAGGCCCTAAACACCGTTGTTCTTAGATCTATCAGTTGACGAGCTCCACAGAAAAGCAGTGTTCAAAAACAGTTCTCTGTTGCTGGCACGCAAGTGGGTAAAGGTACATAACGTTCCTAGTGCCATAGTGTCAATGCCTCCACGGTCAACAAAGAACATTTTTGGAACGACACTCTTTTTGCACTAAAAAAAATTAATGCTGTGAAGACCTTATGTTTACTGTAAGAACCACAATAAAATCACTTTCCACCGCAGGTAATGTGCATCCAACCTTCCACCAGATCTGTCCATAGGACGGGCCTATAGTGTAACAGGTGCCATTGAGCGGATGTGCCGCAAAAAGGCGTCGGGCGTTTTTCGAAGCTTGTCAACTGACCTAGATCTAAGAACATGTGTACACACATTGCTACCATTGCCAGGCGAGTCCAGACATTGTTGGAGATCTGCTGTGTTTGCTGAAAAATGTTTTTACTATGTTCACGCTTTGGTCAATGCAAGCACATCTTCTGTAGCAAGAGCTACACTGGGCGAGGTTCAGCAGTTTTGCGTGGCTCGCATAATGAGCCGTGCGCCGTGCTGCGCAAGCGCGAGGAGCAGTGACGTCAAACGGTGCTCAGCTAGTGCGCCGGAGCCGCCACCGCGCGCGCCTCGCTGGTCTGCGCATGCGCGAGGAGCAGTGATGTCACACGGCGCACAGCTGGCGCGCTGGAGCCACCGCGCACGCCTTGCCGGTCTGCGCATTCCAGAGAAGTGACGTCATAGCCGCGGCAGACGCTGCACCGGAGCTGCGCAGTCTGACGCTGCACCGGAGCCGCTTGGTAGCGCCTCTCATTTTGTGCGCATAAGCTCACGCTACGTATACCCTGGCATAGCCGAACTAATTTTCAGTAATAATGACTAACATTTCAGCAATCAAGGAAGTTGATACTGAAATGTTGAAAGCAATAAAGAAATTAAATCTAGGCTGTTCCTTGGGTGGAGATCTTATTTCTTGTTATATTGTTAAGAACAGCACTGATTTTGTTTGCCCCATCATTGAAGCATGCATATCACCCGAGAAATCTGATCTTCCATCTTGTGGAGAAAGTTTACTGTATTACCAGTAAAGGAGGCTGGTGAAATGTCTAGGGTAGACAACCATTGCCCCATTTCCCTACTGTATGCTCGTTTGAAAGTGAGATAGTTATACAGACATGGGTCTGTTTACTCGTTACAAGCAGCACCATGGAACACAATTTTTTTTAGAGATTGCTCAGTACAAATTAGTTTCTGTACACTTGAATACACGGTGCCATTTCTTCTTTCTTGGAAGCAGGTCGATATTATTTATTTGGATTTATAACAAGCTTTTGATAAGATCAACCACAATCTGCTTTTGTAAAAACCTTTATTGTATGGTGTAGCATTGCCACATTTAAAATTGTTTAATAACTCTAAAAACTCGCAAGATGAGGACGGCAGGGAAAAGCTTCAGTTGCCCTCGCTCCAACATGAGCTTCCTACCTTTGGCAATGCTTCAAGCCCGGGCATTTGTAAGACACGCCCAGACGTTCTCATTCTGTTACGGACCATATCTAACATATCGCCCAAATCATGTTCAGGCGTTCTTGCGAGCCTCCAGAATGCGCGCGCAGACAGAGCATGAGAAAAGGTGCTTACTGGAGGCTGGGTGCCAAGAGATGCCAGATGCCCTGCATTTCTCATCTTGTCAGCGACTATTAGCACCGCTGGTGACATCTTTTTTTGTTCACAACATCAGAGGCAGTTTGATACTTCAGCACAGGCACGTAGCCAGGGATTTGTTTCGGGGGGGGGGGGGGGGGTTATGAGATGACTCATAACCAGGGTTATGAGTTACCCTCACGTAACCCCCCCCCCCCCTGAGGTCACGTGGCCTCAGGGAATCACCTATCCCCTCAGTACCCTTCCATCCTCCTTTTCAAGAGCTGCGCTCTAGTCCGGCTTTATGGGGAGTTGTAGACAGCTTTCACTTTTTTTGGTCTACACCCCCAACCCCCCCAGGTTTGGACATCAGGACGCGGTGACGGGTATCGACAGCTACACTCGAGAGCGAGCCGTCACTTGTGGGGGTCGTGACAACACGCTGCGCATCTGGAAGGTCGTCGAAGAGTCACAGTTGGTGTATCAGAGCCACAGGTGTGTATATTTGCTCTTTCTCGCGTGATTTGAAACGTGGTGGCACAAGTGTGCAAATAGCCCCCAATCACTTCCGGCTCTGAACTAGACAACGGGTTCCGCAGTATTTGCAAAGTCAAGTATACACGCTATCTTCTGGAAATGGCCACTTATAGCACTGTCAGACTTAATTTATTCTTATTATAAAAGAATGAGGAGTAAAAAAAAGGAAATGTATGTGAACCGGAAGTGTGCCAGGGCTACCCAGTAGGTGGCACCACTGAGTTTGCTGCCAAACAAAAAAGGAGCGAAGACTGCTTGCGAGATGTTTCTGTTGTGGCATGATGGCTAGAATGTGTCTTCAAGTGGTGCGTCTTGCATACTATAGGGCAGTTCCACACGGATTTTTCTGGCTCATCACTTTGCTAGGATCTGTGCTAGTAACCCTTTGCCAACACGCAAGGGAAATGTATTTCAGCTTGCTCAAGCTCTTTTGCATTGTGATTAATTGCATCAGCTGGAGAGGTCAGTGACGTAAAGTAATGTTGGCTTCTACTATATTCTTTTACAAACCAACTTTTATTCGGAGTTGAGGCGAGCTGGCACTCGAGCAGTCAGCTCGTCTGCCAGCAGATAGGCCCCAGATGACGCCGGCACGATTCGAAACACAAGAAATTGAAGTTAACAGGGGTTTGTGTGACCCCAAATACGTCCCCTATCGTGCTCCTCGAGTTCTGCCGTCGACGGGGCCGCTTACCATACTTCCGCATTACATGAAAACAAATAAGGCAAATGGTGGAAAAAGTTTCCCAGTATTTTTGGACCTGTGTATCGTTAGTGAAATTGCCCTAATACTGCTGGTCAGTCATGGATGCGATAGCATTCTTGACCAGAAACTCTGGTCGTGATTGTCTGCCGAAATCTTTGTCAACTGGCCAGCTGGCAGGCGGGTGGTAGAGAAGACCTGTAGTCCTCACCTCTTTTCTGCTGCCAAACCTGTCGGTTGCTCTAGAAAGCAGCGTCCGCCAGTGTTGCAACAATCTGGAATGTTACCGCGTTAAATGTGATCGAATAGAAAATGGGCATTGTAAGCACATCAGTCGGTTGCAGACGGTGTCTTTTGCACGTGTTTTGTGCCTGGTTTTGGAGATACTACTTTTTCTTTTTATAATTTGTGGAGCTATCCTTGTTGCCATGGTAATGAACAAAAATTGACAGGAGGCATGTCTGTTCTCATTGTGGCCTTGCTGGTGCTCGTTCCTTTGAAAACTGCAATGCAGTGATTCTATGCTGCAGCATTAACCACACGGTATGCCAGTAACAGAATACTTATCTTGCTGGCATATGTCGAGCAGAAGTTGAGGTTTTGAAGTTTACCCAAAAGGCATCTTTTAAAGCTCCTCAAGAATAAACTGGTTGTTGCTTTGGATTTATTTCAGCTGCTCTGTGGACTGTGTGAGCATGATCAACGAGCAACACTTCATTTCTGGTGCTGACGATGGGTGAGTGTCTCCCTCCACCTCTAGGACATTTTTCTAAGCCTGATCATGCGGTCATCTTCAAATCTTTTATGCTACTATTAGGGAATGTTGGGATTGCATTCAACCATATGTTGAGCATGCCTTTAATACGAAACTTTCGTAGGTACTGTATTGTATCATATTTTGCGGACTATAGTAGTTTCCGGACTATAGGGTGCATGGGTGCAGGCAAGCTAGTGAATATTAACCATGTTGAATTAACTTGAGTCTGAATAACAAGAGAAACATGAGACCGTAGAAAATAGACAGGACGACGTCTAAATTTTTAAACATTGCCCAGCCTATTTTTATTTTTTACAGCAGTGCTGTTAAGGGCTAGGTTCCCCAGGATTGTGTCCGTGTATGTCGACACAAGCCTACCTGAACAGCTACCGCCATCTATAAGCGAGGGCGGGAAGCACACAACCAGTATGGTTTCCGCCGTCGCTCGGAGATGGCGGCAACCTTTCCAGCTATATAATAGAAGAACGGATAGTTGGGCATGTTGGTGGGAATTCATCGTAGGAAAACAGCGCGAAAAACAGATGACGACGAAGAAGAAGCACACAGTGTATCGAGTGCAGCTCCGCTGGTCTTCCTTCTTCACGAGAGTGGAAAGGCTGTTTGCACACTTTGCTACAGGCGGTTAGAACTTCGAAGTGTGAATGCATAGCACATGGAAACCATTGACGACGCTGCCACAGAATACGACCCCAACTCCGATAAGGTGCCTCCCGACTGATACCAACACCCAAAATGGCAAGCGGCGCAAATGATAACTAGTCGTGATGTCAGAGGTCCAGTTCGATCTTTGTTTTCTGCAGTGGGGGAGGGGCGGCGAAAGCAGTTGGCAGTTGTGACAGACAGACAATGTGAGCGCTGTCGGTTCGGCGCGCTCCTCCCCCTCAGAATAAAAGTGAGCCCGTCCTCGATTGCCTCGCGGTGGAGTCGAAGAAGCTTGTGGCAGAAGGCGTGATAGATTCGAAAATCCCTACTCGCGTCCTTTCTGTCGTGTTGTGTTCCTTTGACGTTTAATGTTTCTCTCCTTCCCCAGTCTGACATTAATTCAAACGCGTTTATAAGTTAAAAGTTTATGAGGCGCAGACTGTCTACAAGTGCGGGCTGTACGAGGATTAGTGTTTTCTAGATTGTTAATTATTATGAGACGTGACGGATTTCGAGAATTATAGAATCTGCTAGTGATAGTTTGCGTACGACACAAGCTTTTTTGTGGGCTAGTAAAGGAGGCATTTGTTAAGGCGTGCTGCGTACGAGCATTGTTTACGTCCCAACAGGGTGCCAGGTGCACACTGCTCCCGGTGCAAATTATCCAAGGAAAATGCTTTTTTTTTTATCAGAATTAATTTTTGTTGATCATACACTGTGCGGACTACATTCTGTAAAATATGCTACAACTTTGACTTCTTTTCGATGGCTATACCGTGCCCGGCGTATTTCGTTTCAGGTCCCTGTGCCTGTGGACGGCAATGAAGAAGAAGCCGACCTGCGCTGTTCTCCAGGCCCACGGTGCTCGCGACGGGTCTCCGTTGTGGCTCACTGCTCTGGCTGCACTCCGCTGCACCGACCTAGTTGCCTCGGGTATGCACATTGCCCGTAGCACTCTACAGACGTCCGGGTGCTCCTGCATTTGAATGCAGGTTTCTCTGTGCGTGCGTATAAGGACTCCGGCGTAAATGCAATGGAACCTCATAGATACCTTCTTGGCGCACCGCGGTAAAGAAGCGTGTAATCTGGGAAAGCATAATGGCTGGTAACGCTTTTGGGGGTCTAGATGTGACAGAAAGCAACTATGGGGAAAAGAACACGACCGAATCGATTGGTGCTCGGGCTCCGACTGCCCGCACGTTTTTAATTTGCGCGTGACCCGCGTCACGGAGCTCGTGACGCGAGCTCCGTGCTCCGGCCATTGTTGCGGGCTCCTACAGGGCTCCCCCCCTGGTAGCATGGATCGTAGGAGAAGAAAAACTAATAGATCCCATGCTGGCAAAAACAAAAACAAAGGAAGAAAAATAATGAGTAGATTCGGTTCTGACATTAAAGCACAAGAAAAGGTATATGGAGCTATGTGGCCCATGAGACGCGCTTTCTTGTGGGAGGGGTCGTGTTCGCTCGCAGAGACAGTAGGTGTTCTGTGGATAGAGACTGGTCCTTAAATTCTTGAAATGCAGGCTTGAGTCTGTCCATCGCTATGGTTTCTGTATGTCCGTTGACGTCTAGAATCATGGTTTTCTCGGTGCGTTTGAGCACCTTGAAAGGTCCATCATAGGGCGGAGTCAGACTTTTCTTGCTGCCTTCTTTGCGAATGAAAACATGCGTGCATGTTTGGATCTCCTGGCTGACGAAAACTTTCTGAGAATCAGGATATCGAGGTAGTGTCGGTTGAAGCTCTCGGATGAGCTCTCGCAGGCTGTCCAAGTACGTTTGGGATGGGACCGTTTGGGAATTTTTGTTGCTGTTAAAAAATTCACCAGGAAGTCTAAGTGTCGAGCCATAGACGAGTTCCGCTGCGGTGCATCCGAGGTCTAGTTTGAGCGCGGATCGAACGCCGAGGAGGACGAATGGTAGGTGATCGACCCAGTTGAGTCGCCCGTCTCGTGCCGTAATTGCTGCCTTGAGTTGTCGGTGCAGTCTTTCTACCATGCCGTTAGCCGAGGGGTGGTAGGCGGTAGTATGCACATGGTGAACTCCTAGGAGCTGGGCTAGAGCGGCAAAAAGCGAGCACTGGAACTGCCGTCCCCGGTCCGTAGTGACGGTGGATGGACAGCCAAAGCGGGCGATCCAAACCTCAACAAACGTCCTGGCGACAGTCTCGGCAGTGATGTCGGGTAGAGGTATAGCTTCGGGCCACCTGGTATAGCGGTCAACGCAAGTCAAGATGTAAGTGAATCCCCGGCATGAAGGCAGTGGACCCACAATGTCAAGATGCACATGGTCGAACCGTGCAGAAGGAGAGCGGAACGGTACCAATGGAGTCACCGTATGCCGGCTCACCTTAGAGCGCTGACATTGCAGACATGTTCGTGCCCAGCCACGTACATCCGCGTTGATGGTAGGCCAGATGTAGCGAGCTGTTATCAGGCGCTGTGTGGCTCGGATGCCTGGGTGACTGATGTTGTGGAGGTGGTCGAAAACCTTCCGACGAAGAGCTAGCGGAACAAGAGGTCGAGGACTGCTGGTAGACATGTCGCAGAGGATGGTACCGTTAGAATGAGGGAGAGGAATTTCCCTGAGTACCAAGGACTTCAGCATGTCGGGATGGGCAAGCAACTCCGGATCATCTCGTTGTGCGGCAGCAATGCTCTCAAAATCGACAGCTCCACGACTTGCCGAGACAGCGTCGACACGGGAGAGCGCGTCCGCCGCTGAGTTGTCTTTGCCTTTTACGTGGCGGAGATCAACCGTGAACTCGGAAATGAAAGCAAGTTGTCGTATCTCTCGGGAGCAGTAGGCGGTGTGGTTGCCATGGAAAGCATACGTTAGAGGCTTATGGTCCGTCAGGATGTGAAACTCGTGACCTTCAAGAATATACCTGAAATGTTTGACAGCCAGGTACACTGCAAGAAGTTCACGTCCGAACGTGCTGTAACGTGTTTCGGCAGGCTTCAGTTTCTGGGAAAAAAATACAAGTGTTCGCCACTCGCCGTCAAGCATCTGTTGCAGGACAGCGCCGGCAGCAGTGCTGGAGGCGTCAGTCATGAGACGGGTGGGGGCTCCAGGTTGCGGATAGAAAAGCAGGGCTGCATTGGCCAAGGCTTCTTTAACGCTGGAAAAAGCAGACGCAGCTTCTGCGTTCCATGGAACTGCTGATGATGGCCCTTTCTTGGTTCTAAGAAGATCCGTCATGGGCTGAATCATTTCAGCACAGTGCGGAATGAATCTTCGATGGAAATTGATCAAGCCCAGAAACTCGCGAAGCTTGCGAAGTGACGTGGGTTGGGGAAACTCGCGGATTGCCCGGACTTTGTCTGCGAGTGGTAAGATGCCCCTTGACGTAACGCGATGGCCCAGAAAGTCCAGCGCATCAACGCCGAAAACGCACTTCTTCGCGTTGATGACGAGACCGTACTCCTGCAGCCGGTCGAACAACAGTCGCAGGTGTTGCTCGTGTTCTTCCGGAGAGGTGCTGGCCACGAGGATATCGTCAACGTACGCGAAAATGAAGTGAAGTCCTCTGGTCACTTCGTTGATAAGGCGTTGGAACGTCTGAGCGGAGTTTCGCAGGCCAAAGGGCATTCTTACGTATTCGAAAAGTCCGAACGGAGTAGTGATGGCAGTCTTGGCCACGTCCGCTGGCTCTACGGGAATCTGGTGGTAAGCCTTTATCAGGTCTACCTTGCTGTAGATGTTGGTACCAGCAAGCCCAGCGGAGAAATCGTGAATGTTCGGCAAAGGGTACCGATCAGGTACCGTGCGTGCATTCAAAGCTCGATAATCTCCGCATGGTCTCCAGTCATTCGGGTCCTTTTTCGGGACCATATGTAGTGGCGACGCCCAGTTGCTGGAAGATGGGCGGACGAATCCGAGCTCCAGCATATGTTCGAACTCTCGACGCGCGATGTTTAGTCGCTCGCCAAATAGGCGGCGAGGACGCGCGGAGATGGGCGGGCCGCTGGTGATGATGTGATGTGTCACACCATGCTTGGTTGGTACCTCCGCATTGCAGGGCCGGGTTATGGCAGGGTATTCTGTGAGGAGGGCTTCGTACCTCGACGTCGTCGCCAGGGGACGCATCGGGGAAGCGTTGAATGACGACAGGATACCCTGGATGGTCAAGGATGTGGTGGCATCGGTGAGGCTTCTGCCACGGATGTTGACGGCAAGGCCAAAGTTTGCCAGGAAGTCCGCTCCCAGTATGGCTTGACGGAGATCCGCGACAATGAAGACCCACCGGAAAAGTCGCCTTAGTCCTATGTCGATGGTTAGGGATCTCTGGCCAAAAGTGGCAATTGCCGAGCTGTTGACGGCTCGTAGGGGCGCGGTATGTTGCACTTGCTGACGGTCAAGTCGTGACGCAGGCAAGACGCTCACCTCAGCCCCAGTGTCCACTAAGAAGCGGTGACCAGAGATTTGGTCAACAACGTAGAAAAGGCGGCTTGTGTGTTGGCCATCGTCACTCGCCGCTGCTAGTGCCGGGCCTCGGGGTTTTCCGACCAGGAGCATGGTTGATGGCAGTGTGTGGCCCGTTCCGCGTAACGCCGGTGGTACCAGCACAGGGCTCTGCTGCTTGACCGCGAGGCTCGTCGCGAGGCTGAACGGGCGTGAGGGGAGCCGCGCCTGGATCGTCGAGGTCTTTCGTCTGACGCCTTCATGGCGGCCACAGCGCAGGAAAGCTCTGCTATGCTTGCCTTGATCTCGGCGACTGTTGCTTGCCAGGGCTGGGGCTCGTGAGGCTCGTGAGATGCCACAGCAGCAATAGAAGGGGCTGAATATTCAGCAGTCCGATCCGCCAGCGTGGCAAGACGATCTAGCGGCATGTCGTCAGCAGCTGCAAGAACCATGCGCATTCCTTGCGGAAGTTTTTGAAGAAACAGCTCCCGCAGTATACGGTCTTGGGAATCGGTGGCTTGGGGACCCAGCAACTGTCGCATTTGGTGGAGAAGTTGCGATGGGCGACGATCTCCCAGCTCCTGGGCTGTCAGAAGTTGCTGGATTCGTGACCGCTCCGATGCCGTTGTTCGTTCGAGCAGAATGCTTTTCAAGTGATCATATGCGTCCTCACGCGGTGGCTCCGTTAGCACGTCGTCGATTTCGTCGGCCACGCTTGGCGGCAGAGAGGCAACGACGTGGTAGAATCGTGAGAGCTGGGTAGTGATGCGGCGAAGATGAAACTGCGCCTCGACTTGGGTGAACCAAACTCGCGGGTTCTTCGGCCAAAAAGGGGGAAGGCGCAAGTTGACCGCTGCGAGGTTGGCGTCAGAGGACTGAAGTGGCGCGCCGTCGCCAGTGTGAGCGTTGCCTTGATCCATGTTGGTTGAGGCTGCTAGAGAAGGCGACGGGGTGCCTTCAGATTCCGGGTCACCATTTATGGGGAAAAGAACACGACCGAATCGATTGGTGCTCGGGCTCCGACTGCCCGCACGTTTTTAATTTGCGCGTGACCCGCGTCACGGAGCTCGTGACGCGAGCTCCGTGCTCCGGCCATTGTTGCGGGCTCCTACAGCAACTATTGCACAACAGTGAACTGCATCTATTCAAATATAAGCGTTCAAGTGTGTTTCTTTTTTTCTGCCAATGCTTTTTATGGTTGGGGATCAACTAATATCTGCAACCAAAAAATGTCAACTTAAAAGAGTGCCAAAAATATTCAAAGCACATAGAGCCGGCCGAGATGTCTTCTGCTCCTAGCACGCTGGTGCGAAGCGGTGAAGCGTGATTTCAGTCTCCCATGGAGGGTATCAAAGGTCCATTTTTATGTTGTCGGAGCAAAAGCACAAAGATGCTGTAAGTAATTTAGAGGTACTATAGTTGGTTACAAGTCAAGAAGGTAGGAGAAGCTCCTCCCACAAGCGTGATGCACCCGTTTAAAATCTTTCCGCAGTCGAAAGAAGAGTTCACTGCAAATGCTCCTTGTTCCGCTTCAATGGATACATATTAGCTGCAGAGTGATGCCAACTTATCTCCGATCCCACTTTTTAAGAAAGCGACCTTTGTATTCATCGGAGGGGGAACCGAGCCTCTGAAAGCAGCCTTTCCCCGAAGTTGTATTTGTTTCCATCGGAGGAGGAAAACTCTAGTCTCCCTCTCGTGGCTTCCACAATGCTAAGTCAAAGTTGAAAGATAAAGCAAATATGTACAGGAAGGCAAGACCCTCCTCGCGCGTTGGCCGCGACGTCACGGAAACGATGGGACGCTATTGGATGCGGAGGCGGCGGAGGGTTATATGATTCCCTTTGAGGAGCATTTGCTGCTACCTTCTCGACCTGTAACTTACTATAGCAGGGGTTCTCAAACTGGGTTTCGGGGTACACAAAGGTTCCACGAGCTGGTCTCATGGGTTCCGCAAACACCCAAATTGCAACCCCCCATGCCACAAGCTGCGCGGAGGACCATGCAAAGCACCTTCATCTCACTTTGTGCTGACATTGCGATTGATATGGTGGGGATATGTGGGAAGCAACACAAGCAAAATTGCCTACAATTGTGCATCTGTTGCTTCTCGGTCAACAAATATGGAGGGGGGAAGAAGAGAGAGAGAGAGGGGGGGAGGGGAGGAAGGAGGAGGAGGGTGTTCAGCGGCAGTTTTTGAGGCTTCCTGGGGTTCCGTGAGGCCAAAAAGTTGAGAACCCCTGTACTATATATAGTATACTGCCTATCAAAGTTTATAGATGGACAGTACTACCTGTTGAGACAAATAGGTCAAACCCATGTAAATTGCAAAAATCAGTTTCATATGATGTGGCACTAATTCAATCTGTATGTGTGGCTAAGTGGTGCATCTGATTTGTGAAGATACGGTTTAAAAAATTGGGTAAGAAGGAAGGAAATTTTTGCTTTGCTCTTGTTGACTTGTTTTTCTAATTTATTGCCTTAATGACGTTTTTTCTAATTTATTGCCTTAATGATGTTTTTCTAATTTATTGCCTTAATGCATTAGCATTAGTACCTACATGACAGTGAAAAGCTGATGTCTGTCTGCAGACAAAACAGTGGAAAGAAAAGCGTGCCACATAGAGAGCAGGAGAGTAGTGAAGAACAAAGGCGAAAGGGAGCCAGCGTCATGGGGTGGAAGCCAATGAGTTTGCGGGAAACCGGTGAACTGCAAAAGCAGCGTCCGGCAGCGGATGCCATTGCTAAGCATGCAAGGCGAGCGAATTAGGCGGAGGAGTGGAAGTAGTACCTAGCTCTACTGTCCGAAATGCGGCGCAAGAAGCGGCCAGCCGACGCAGGTCTGTGTGCGACAGAGGTTGGAGAAAAGTGGGCTCGGCGAGCCTACTTAGCTGGAAAAAGTTTTAGGGAGGTCCATCAGTGGATTTGTAAGGAATGCGTCATCATGACATATGAAAAACACCACACATGTCCCCCTTTGGGAAATGCTAACACTGACCCCATAACGAAGCCAAAAAGAGGAAGCAAAAATTAGAGAAGCAATACAGAAAGCCAAAACAGAAAAGTGAAGGGGTCAACGTCAGCGTTTCCCAAAGGGAGACATGTGTAGCGTTTTCCAAGGGTCATGCTAATCCATTTCCTAAGAATCCACCAATAAATCTTCCTTTATTTTTTTTTTTTTTTTCACTTTGAGATTAAGAAAGCTGAAGCAATGTGGTGAATTGGGTCGGTTGGTATTGAGACGACATGATGACAAAACGCCGCACAAAGGACAGGACGACAGGAGAACTCGTAGGACACACGAGCTTGTGCATTCTATGTGTTTTTCTCCTGTTCTGTCCTTTGCGTGCTGTTTTTTCATCATGTTGAAAAGGCTAAACTCCATATCACACCTTAGGAAAACTTGTTTTTGTTTGTAACTTTTGAGTGAGACAAGTTTCACCAATATTTTGACAAATCAGATGCCCCATCTAGCCGCAGACACTATACTCCGTGTCACTAGCTGCATGCAGTACAGGCGAAGGCAACGCCAGGCGGGGGAAGAAAAGGCAAGCACTAGGAAGGTTGGGAAGGAGGAGAGAAACCTCCTCTCTAACGTTCCTAGTGCTCTCCCTTTCTCCCCTCGCCCTCCATTGCCCTCCTCTCCCGTCCCACCTTCCTAGTGCTCACCCTTTCTCTCTTCGCATGGCATTGCCCTTGCCTGCATTGCAAACAACTAGTGACACGGAGCATAGAAGGTGGGGGGGGGAGCATTTGTGTGATAGCTCGGTGTACCTGACTAAGTATTCCTCTTCTTTTTTTTTTTTTTTTTTTCAGGATCTTCCAATGGAGAAGTGAAGTTGTGGAGTTGCGGTGATGACTGCAAGAGGCTGACTGAAGTCATCTCGATTCCTCTGGTACGAAAACCAATGGCGCAACTGCCTCACTACTGCAGCATCATTTTTTTTCTCTTGTCAACTTTAGAAAAGATTTTGTCTTTTCTGTTTTGCATAATCACCTCTTATGTGAGGGTTCTGATCCAGGTATATTTTGCTTATGCTAGTATATGGTGACTGAGGTGCTGCGAAATCTTTGTGCATGCTCATGACTGGCCATGTCTCTTAAAGACTGACGTGCAAAATATTTGTCAACCAGGGTGAAAATCCTTCTTGCCACCCTTCCCATTTCCCCTCTCCCACTCTTAACTTGATGGGGGGTCCTTTTTTTGTTGCTGCATCTTGGGACCGGATATGCCGGGAGCTTATTCTGTCTCATCCAACCCCAATATCCGGCAAGAAAAGGAGTCCACCCCCCCCCCCCCCCCCCTGCCATCAAGATAGCGGTGGGAGATGGGAAATCGGGAAGATTTTCATTGGTTGAAAAATATTTTGCAAGTTGGCCTTTAAATTTGAAGGGATCATGAAATTATTTGTTTTCCACTTTGGCTTTTGACTGTTTTCCACTAGTGCTCAGTGCTTCATGGTGTACTCAATTCACATTCGTAAGGCATGCCGCAGACATCAGCTTTCGTTCACAAGTGCTGGTTTCTACAAAAGGAGGAGAAATGGTTCTATGAGTGTGGGACCATCTTTGTGCTTCACTCGCACGAGAGTGCATGCAAATGGGATGCTTAACAAAACCATGTGCTCACCCCAGTAGCTTTAACAATGCTTTGTGCTATGTGTGAGACTAAGTACAGCACCTATTTTCCCCTATTATGCCCCTTATTGAAGCAAAAGAAAGGATTATCTTTTGGGGATCATACTTTGCTTTGTAGGGCTAGTCATAGGTTGGAATATGATGGGGCCAACCTTGAGTTTATTTAAACGGGAAAACGACAAAAACAAAAATGGTGTAGTCAACAGCTACTTCAATTGCTGCCTCGGTCCCTTCTGCAAGCAGGCTCATTCGAGACAAGGGCCCCAGTGATGTCCTAAGAAAATGATAACACAATGCAGAGAAGGGTCATCCGGTCTTCTGCATCCAACTTTTAATTTCACAGTTCCTTTAAAAAAGCACAGCAAACTTCTTTCGACAAACGTCAGGCTTTAAGGCGTGTTTACACCGGCGATACAAAGCAGTCGTGCGATACGACTAGATAGCATCACAAAAAAAAAATTGGACATTCACACTGCCGTGCACAATGAGCAAGTTCAACGCCTTCGTTGGCGCGTCGCCTCTCGAAAACTCCCTCTCCAAACACCGTTGATTGGCTCAGCTGCTCTGCGACTAGATCGCATCGCAAAAGGTCGGGTCAGGTAGCGACTGCTCAAATCGTGTTGCTTTTTTTCCGCGATGGTCGCTTTTGTGATGAAAGGTATCGCGCAGCTAGATTGCATCGCCGGTGTGAACGCGCCTTGAAAGACTATGCATCTCGCGAAAAAGTGGGGCCATGACGATACTAGTTTTACTACTTGCTTCATTGTGATCTTTTGTCTCCGACTAAATTTTAAGATGATTATGTTTGTCCAACAGGAGGGCTTTGTGAACGAGCTTGTGTTCAGCAACTCTGGACAACTGCTGGTTGCGGCGGTTGGTCAGGAGCACAGGCTGGGACGCTGGTGGAACCTGAGGAAAGCCAAGAACTGTGTCGCCATCGTACCTCTCAAGATTTCCGACCGACCAGTAGCAGCCCTGGCAGATGCCTCTGCTAAGCCTGTCCTCAAAGGAAAAGTGCGATGAGATACTGGTTAAAAATATAAATAAAAAAACTTTTTTGTAAGATGTTTTTTTATATATATATTATATTTTAATTTCTGGTAGGAAAGTCTCACCCATTCTGTGTTCTGCATTTCACACTCCTTGAACTAAAAATTACTTCCATGACCATCCATTGATCTGGCTCGAAGTCCACTGAGCTATTCTGGTTGGCTCTTGTTTCATGAATTGTTTACATTCAAGCCAAGTCTATCGGGATTCTTGAGCTGTTGCAATTTACCAGGCGACCCTATTGGAGAGCCAGCCTAGCCTCGTTAAACTGGTGTTTGACAGTGAGAGGCACTAAAAACAATGTACTCCTTTGACTGCTTCGGATTAAGTTGCATCATGGCTGCCTTTTTTTTTTTTTTTGGGGTGTCGTGAATTCGGATTGAGCCTACTTGTATCCGGGTGACCACCCGTCCCGCGACTCTCGGGAATGCCCCGCATTGAGGGCTCGTGTCCTGCGTCCTGCGAGAAATTCCTGAATCGTCCAAATGTCCTGCATTTCACACTGTCGTAAAATTCACTCCGCAACTCGTGGTGCTGCCGAACAACGGGACACGGGGAGGCACGGGGGTTGTTGGTAACCGCATGAATCGCAATGGTACACCATTTTCTGTACAAGCATTGCGGGAAGCGACCATCGTTCATGAAGGAGAAATGACGTGCATGCGCCGTTGTAACTCTGCCCTTGGTGGCATAATATTGTAAGAGAAAATTGCTCGCCAAAAGTTTAAATTATTTTCAAATCGCTGTGTCAATGCAAAAGGGTAGCTGTCGAATTTTTTTTTTAGTGGAGACACCCATACAAGGCAAGAAGCCTGCAACTCAAATCGGTCTATAAAGAACATAAGCCCGAAGATTTACGGTTGCTTATTTCCATTTGATGCATTGATTTCTGCTGCAGTCAATCTTTGTTTTTCAACTTCGACAGATTTAATAACATATTTAGCATAAAAAAATATATCGCTGGGAATAAACATTATTTAAACTTAATTGCTGCTATACAATTTGTAGGTGTGAAAACAGCGCAGGATATTAAATGTGTTAATAGAGCGTCGGTTCGTGGTGTGCGTTAATAAATTTCCTCTACCTCTCCCCCTCCCCCCGTCCCGCGTGTTCCGCATTTTGCTAGCAGGAAGGCGGTCACCCTGACTTGTATGTTTTAGATTATTTTCTTGTGACTGCATGAGGGTGACAACAATGCTAGTCACCTGTTGGCATGATCTGGAAAGGCACTTAAATTGTTGGAAAGATAATGTGCAGAAACGGGGAAGAAATGTCCAGGACGTCTGCGCAGCCTGGTTAGTTTTTATTGTTGAAGTATAACAGGATAAATGAGTATTCCTGGATATTTCGACGCTTCCTTTGTTCTTAGAGTCAGCGGTCGCGGGCAGAGTTGCTCTTGAAGGTACACTTGCTGTAGGAGTGCTTGGAAAAAAAAACTATGTTTACTAGGCTAGGACAGAAGTATTGAGGACTGGAACATATAAAACAAAATATGAGGAAATGGATATGCGGTGTGCCGTATGCTAAGGGGAAGACTAGACAATGGAACATGTGAAGTTGAGGCGCACAGTGCTTGCTCCCACTTGCTCCCACCCTCCCCGAGGGGGCGATGAATTTAGCCGGAGCGCTGGAGTTTGCAGACGAGAATGGAAGAATGAATGTTGAGTGCATTTTAATAACGAAGTTTAGTTTAGAAGAGTGGTGCAAATTAGGGAGAATTGAATGACGTAAAACTAACACAGCTGGGGACAGGCGAGGCAGGAAAATTAGGACTCCTTGCGTGGCTCCGGCCCAAAGTCTCAACTAGTGCATGCAAATATCTGTCAAACCGGTTATGCGGTTAACCCTTTCCCGCCTGACGGGACACATGTGTCCCAAAAGTATGTGATTTTTTATTATCTCCTGCATCCTCCATATCCCGGCAAAAACCTGTCGGGACACTGGTGGCATTGGCTGCATTTCCAAATCGCACCGTTTTGGCGCTGCGATCACAGTGGCTGCGGCCGCACGGATGGGCCGCACGGTTACTGCTTTTTTGGGGGGACCGAGGGCCCTGGGGGCACGGAAGTAATTGAAAACCCAACGAAGTCAGGAGAGGCACCCAGGGTTAAAAAGAGGAGAAAACGTAAGAACAGGTATAAAAAAACAGCACAATCAGACATTGGATATATTAACATGCAGGGTAGTAGAAATAGGTTAAAATGGGAAGAGGTAGAGGAGCAACTAAGAAAGGAGGATTTAATGGGTTGTGAAAATATGCAAATAGTTGTTTCAAATTATCCGGTATTCACTATTTGCTTCAAAATTAATTGCAATATTCACATTTTTCGAATTGTTGATTGGTGTGCCGCAAAGAAGCAACATCCGTGGAAGAGGGTGCCATGGGTGTTGTTTCTCCGCAGTGCACCCGTGCTCGGTAAGAAGCGCGCTCAACGGGGCTAACCTGCCACGATCAACACTTGGAAAGTACAAATATTGCCATCGCATACTTGGGAGGAAAGCCCACGTTCAAAGTGGGATTATGCACGCAATCACCTGGTGTATTTGACATCAACTTTTTGAATGTTAATGTTTATACCACAGTAAAATTAAAAAAAAAAATATTTGGCTATTATTTAAGAGTGTGGGGAATGTGGCCACAGTTTAAGAATGTGGGCACTGAACTTTCTGAGGCCACAGTCCATAAATATTGTTAGATAAAAATCATTTTAGCTTAGAAATGGACAAGTGGAAGCTCGGGAACAACCTTCACTAGTTCAGCTGCTTTTTATTTAAGCATGGTGCCTAGCGAAAGGTTTGGAGAAACTATTTGATATTCGATTTGAAAATATTCGGCCAAAACCACTATTCGCTCCGAACTCAAAATCAACTGCATATTTGCACATGCCTAGGATAGATAAACTCTAGTTGTCTAACTGGCTCGTCTGCTTCATTGTGCAATGCTATTACTGGACTACAGTGTTGCTTAACTAGATAATTGGAATCGCCAGGCCACTTGACGGGGAGGATTGATGTTGTGAGCATTCTGTTTCGGCACTCCCAAGCACCTTCTCGCAAAGTGCAAAGGATCAACCAGTACATAATCATTCGCTTTATAATTATTGTTTTCCAGTAAAAGTATGGTGTAAAACATTCACTTCAAGTGTGCTCTCGTAGATTTGATTATTCTAGGGACGAAGCCCAGTTGTTTTTATGTTCCTTTGCAACAACCATAAACTTGGCATCTGGATTTTAATTGATCTAGCTGGTGATGCTATTTTTTGTTTCTTCTAATTACACAGGTGTTTGTCTTTTTTTTAAGGGAAAATGTATTACTGTTGCATTGTGAACCCGAGTTTGCAATAACAGGATGGTACTGGCGATCAGTTACATTTTTTTGCATATTTGGCACATTTACTGTAGCACCGGTGTTAAGCAGGTGCACAAAATTAAATAATGAAAAAGCATTTCAAGCAACTAGTCGGGGCTCTTGGGAATTGCATTACCAAGGAAAGAGTAGACCTTTAAATGGACAAAAAGGGGTCTGAACATGGACAGTACAGATGTACAAAGTGTCTCATAAAAAAAAATAGGAATTCTTTTTTTGTTGCAAAAAATTAACTGTATGCACCACCAATTGCTGTCTCTGCCCAAAAGTGGCGCTAGCAGTCCGGACCATATGTCAAAGTGTCGGTGCTTGATGTTATTTGGTTCAAACGTCATAAAACAATTTTCGTAAATTTGCAATGGAAAAATGGCAGCCGACGATGCCCACGAACACGTGAAGCTGAATGGCCACCAAGAACGGGTCTCATTTTTCCATTTTAATTTTCAGAAAATCAGATAATGGTTAGTTCTGACCCATTTGGGTGGAATCTGAGCTCTTAACGATGCATAGGTAGTTTTGGTAAAGAAAACACCATCAAATTATTCTGGGTGCGCAGTGTGGATTCATAGTTAATCACTCAAAGGGCTGCTTGCATGCCGTCCATTTAAGAAATCGCACAACCCTCTCGCAGCTCTTGACCACGTTGTCGATCACCAAGAGATCCGGGACCGACGCCAAGCAGGGAGGCTGCTGAGGTTAAATCCCGTCGTCTGGAGGGCCGTCTGCTTCGACCAGTCTGCCGACGTCTCCTCGCACCGAAGAGCCATAGACATGAAGTGGCGATAGAAGCAGATTGCAAGCCTTTCATCAACAACAGAAGTCGGCGTGGAAGTGGCAGCCTTCCGGCGATGGGGAAAAAACCGTGTTTTGTCGGGTATCACTGCGCAGCTTCTCGCACTTGCGAGACAAATGACGGCTGTGCCGCGAAACCCAGAATTTGGGAGCGGCCGGTTCGATGTTGCTGCAGCAGTCGTTCCCTCAAGCTCAATCGCAAGATTGCTTGTTTTTTTAAACTGTGCAGAGCTTGTTTCTTTGTAGTGTTATGCGCTTTGCAATAAATATTTATTGAGCTCTTATCATTCTAGTTACATCCCAATTTTACTGCGGCTACGACTTGGTATCGAGGGGCCAGGTGGCCCAATGGTGGCATCTAGCACAGACTACTGTAGGTAAGGACTACATGTTGATCAGACTGCATTCAAAGCTGAGCAATCTCTCTGGTAGCCATCGTGAATTTTTTATGGATGTATACCATATACACGGACATTGCAAGTAAAATGTGCCATTCAAAAGGAATTCTTGCAAGATCTCATGCGAATTACAAAGTGATCGGGTAAGGCGTTCCAAAGCACTTGATCCGACTTTTGAGCCTATGCCTCTTACCTCCATGTGATGGAATGATGCAAGCAGTGATGGAATTATTGCGCTGCCATGCTGGCCATGACATCATCTGCAAGTTCAGACGATGACATGGCCATGCTGGCCATGTCATCATCTGAACTTGCAGATGATGTCGATGATGTCAGAGCTCGAGAGGACGCTTAAGCTTCGATAGCTAAACATATAAACCCACTCATTCTCAAGCCATGCAAGCCTGCCTGCATGGCCTAGTGGCTAGCATGTCTGGCTCGCAACCTAGGTCATAGATTGGAATCCTGCCGCCGCCTAAAATTCTTTTTGAATTTTTTCTTTAAGGCAAATGTATTGCTTTATAGCAGGGGTTCTCAAACTGGGTTCTGGGGAACACAGGGGTTCCACGAGCTGGTCTAATGGGTTCCATGAACACCCAATTTGCAACCCCCCCCCCATGCTGCAGGCTGCGCGGCAGGACCATGCAAAGCACCTTCATCTCATTTTGTACTGACATTGCAATTGATATGGTGGGGATATATGGGAAGCAACACAAGCAAAATTGCCTACAATTATGCATCTGTTGCTTCTCGGTGGGCAAATATGGAGGAAGTGGGGGGGGGGGGGGGTTCCGCGACAGTTTTTGAGGCTTCCTGTGGTTCCGCGAAGCCAAAAAGTTTGAGAACCCCTGCTTTATAGAGTGAAATCATTTCAGACATGCAGTGACCTTGAATTTACATTACACGTCACGTTTTAGTCACTTTCATTCCACGTGAGCATTTGAAATTCCCACGTGAGTTTGTGTGGCTGGGATGTTGACCCTATCGACCAATCAGGATTTTTCCATTCCACGCCAACGACACTTCTGCGACACAAGCTCCTTAAAGCTATCACTTTCAAATTAATAAAATGGTGGTATAGCGGTAGCTCTAAAACAGAACCAACGTCTCATACTCCCGATGAGATCTCTCAATCATCATCTCCGCCACATGCCTCTACACCTTGACACAACCGCTGCTCCCATCAACCTTCACCACCTTGCACAGGCACGCATGCATCAAACTTCTCTGCATCGCATTGGTGCGTTGGGGGAAGTGACTTGTGCGGCCTAACACCTGTGGGTTAGCACGATGGGCTCAGAAATTACGCGCTGTACTATTACAAATCACTTTTTTTTTCTGGATTGTAGGTTGACTTAATTTCAAAGAACAGTGCCAACAAAAAAAAGGAAACAAGAAATGCACTTATATTTGAACAAGTAAACAAGGTAGTTTCCATTGAGCAGTTTACTCTAGCCTGGGGTCAGCCAGTACGATGATCATCCAGATGGAAATGGGCGGGGTGGGGATGGAACTGAAGTTCCCTAGATTCTGCAGTACGAGGTTTTTCTCCACGTGCTCCAAGCTGGTGTGCACTAGCCCACTCTGCCACCGATCCCTTCCACATATGTTTATTGATTTTACAATGCACATAAATGAGGGAGTGGGAGAAGCGTGAAGTATTTTGCTATAATTTATTTTCAATCTTTATTTTTCTTAATTTCTATTGTAAACAGAACCTACTTTGACCCGAGCATTCTAAAATACAGTTGTGTGTCATGTGCTTTTCATGACTATTTGTATAATTACAAAAGGTAGCAAGTAAAACATTTGTATATCAAAGCTGAACCCTGCATTATTATTGAAGATTGGCCCTTTTAGCAGTGCAATAATTTAATTTTAAAGCGATGTGCTAACACACATTAGGATTTGCTCCAAAAAAAACACATGACTGCTCCAAGCAAAATGTTGCTTCCATCGCCATGCAAGCCTTTTAACCCCAATGCACAAGTTCTCAAACCTCTACCTAGGAACCCAGAGGCTTCGCATTCCCAAAGTTCTCAAATTTCCTCGGTCAATCCAGCCTTTGATGTTGCTGGCATCCCCAAAAACACCATAGTGGTTTTGACATTGGTGCTCAGAAGTTTTTTCCATAAAACAGATGAAAAATAAACCTAACGTGCAAAGACATAAAACGCATAAGTAGCACATCAAGAGCCAGAGTTATAATAAATCATTGCAGGTACATTCCGGTATTTAGAGAGAGAAATAAGTATTCTGGTTTAATAAGCAATACAAACTAAAACCAGAGGAGGATCCAATGCTTTAGAAGTGATTTAGGAATATGGCTACACTTGTTACATGCTTTTATGAAACTGAAACAGCATGCACACCAACATTAAATATATGCATTCATCACCACGTGCACGATGCAGCATTGGAAGCGTTCAAGCCAGAACTTGGCAGAGTTTGGGATAACTGGTGGTGAACTAAACCCTAAGGGGGCCTCAGACTCCAGCAATATGCCTCTAGTACCAACAAACCTCTGAATTACATGAAAAACAAAAAAGTAACACTTCTTGGGACAAGGATCATGTGATGGGCTAGTTGGTTATACATTACAAATTTAAAAGTAGCGCTAAAGACAAGGACAAGTAGAAGACACGGACACGGACAGGCGCCGACTCATAACTGATACTTAGTGAAAAGTAAAAGGAAGATAAAACAGAAGTGCAAGGACATATATATACAAAATGAAAAAGAAGACTAAACAAAATGAAAGAAAGCAACAATTATTTTTGACTTCAAAATTAGGAAATAAGAAAAAAGTATGGTAAAAATTAAAATCTTGGGACAGTTTTTTGTGTAGTCACCTACTTGCACTGGGCAATTGCAGAGCAAAGCAGTGAGCTTTCACAACGATAAAAACTTACATTATGCCTAGTAAAATGTTAATACTCACACCATCCAACCTTTGTGTTGTTAAATATCTATTAATGCACTGCATTCTGTTCAGAAGGCAGACTCAGCAATGCGGACATGCTTAAAAAAATTACAAGTTTCAGAACTGTTGGCGTAGAGCGCTCCACCAGAAGGCACTCCACGAATCCATCGTCGCATGCTGCAATACAACACTAGTGGCTTGCTCTGGCCATAGCTTTCAGATTGTGAAGTTTCACTGAACCAAAGCAAGCAAAGATACAGGCAAAGGTAGTCTTGAGAGCAAGGAAGAATTTCGCTTTTGTATCTTACTGCCCTTGATAAGCACGAAACAAGAGTGAATTTCCCCATTGCTCAAAACCTCCTCAATGGGCCAGTGCCAACCAAGGTGGCACTACCACATAGGAGCGAGCCCGCTCAGGCGAAGCGTGCCAGGAGACTCGACTTGTTTTAGAAAGACTACATAAATGACGAACACTAAGACTTTTCATTAAAAAAAATACAAAGCAAAAAAAAAAGGGTGCGGACGCGGTTGTTACAGATTAGATGCACCCTCCGCATCTTTGGAGGGTTCTTCGTCCTCGGGAAAGAACACCTTCTCGGCCATTTTGAGCATGGCCTTGTGTCTCGCAAAGACTCGCTGGGAGTTCAGTCTTGTCTCGGCCACTTTGTCCGCCAAGGACTGCCGAACCTTTTTCGCTTCAGCCTGCCACCTGAGCAGAGATCGGACAGTGTAAAACACAGCATGCAAGGAGACGAACACGGCATGTCCCCCTAAAAAATTTACAGGGTTTGTTTTTTTTTCACCCGGGAAATAAACTGTGCATCGCCGAACACTCAGACTTTGCCCAACTGTAGCGCTAGTGGCCCGAACGATTTAGTTGGCAGTCACCTCGTTTCTACTTGTTTTCTCTCTGTTACTGCTTCACAGCGCACAAGATCAGCAGCGTGAGTGTTCTTCCTGTGTATGCGTGAAATTACTTTTAATTTTAAGTGTGTCTGATCTTGTGCGCTGTGAAGCAGTATCATGAATCACCAACTCGCCCAAGCTGAAGTTCTGTCCAATTCTCTCTCTGTACAGGGTGTCACAAAAGAAAATTTACACGGTCTTTTTTATCGCAAAAATAAACTAGGCATCGCCGAACGCTCATTTTCCGCCCAAAGGTAATGCTAGAGGTCACAACCATATGCCAAAGTTTCAGCCCGATCCGATAACTTAATCAGAAGTTATAAGTGATTTTCTGAAAAGTTAAATGGGAAAATGGAGCCCATTTTTGCCTGTTTTCGGTTTCTGGCGCCATAGAGCCCCATGTGTTTGAAAACTCCGTCGGCAACCATTTTCCCATTGAAATTTTCAGAAAATCACTTATAACTTTTGATTAAGTTATCGGATCGGGCTGAAACTTTGGCACCTGGTTGTGACCTCTAGCTCTATCTTTGGGCGGAGAATGGGCGTTCGGCGACGCCTAGTTTATTTTTGCGGTAAAAAAGACCGTGTAAATTTTCTTTTGTGACACCCTGTATTTCGGGTGCACGGAGGAGATGTGGATTGGCTTCGCGACCGAAATAGTCATTCCGGAAGGACCGGAGACATCGTGAACTTCGCGTGCAGAATTTCAAATAAACCTCTCGCCGTCAATATTGCTCTAAAAATTATTTTTTTCGCTCAAAATTTATTTTTTGACACGCAAGTCTCAACCAGATTGTTTAAAAAAAAAAAAAAAAGTTTCTTTTCAGGGGTTTTTTAAGTGGAAAAAAAGGGCCCTTTCTTGGGAAATGACGGCGTTCATCCCCACATAGCTGCCATTTACCCACTGCCAATTTCAGAAAATTGCTTACAACCATTAAAAAGATAGTTCTGGAGCTCTGGCGCCTGGGTCCGGACTGCTAGTGCCATATTTGGGCAAAGGCCGAAAACGGCAACATGTTTGTTTTTGTGGCGAAAAATATTCCGTAAATTATTTTTG